ACTGGGTTCTGTCAATTGCCTAATAAAAGTTATGGATCAAGCTTCATCCAGTTCTACTATCAAGAAAGTGCCACCATGATCAGTGATCACCTTCTAAAGTAATGAAGTTGATGGGCTCGTTAGGAACTGGGATCTTAAATTATTGAACTTGTGCAAAAAATGCAAGTCACTTTTTCTTCTTGACTTCTTCAATGATATCATTACCATGAAAATTTGCTAGATAGATTATGTTTGCCAGATATATGGACATGTTGAACACATTGCTATAAAAGTGAAGTTTCATCCTATAAAGTAACTAACAGCCTACTTGTCAGAATCTTTGCATTTAAACACAAATTTCCTGGGCTCTGTCAATTGTCTAATAAAAGTTATGGATCAAGCTTCATCCAGTTCTACTACCAAGAAAGTGCCACCATGATCAGTGATCACCGCCTAAAGTAATGAAGTTGATGGGCATGTTAGGAACTTGGATCTTAAATTATTGAACTTGTGCAAAAAATGCAAGTCACTTTTTCTTCTTTTGACTTCTTCAATGATATCATTACCATGAAAATTTTCTGGTATCATCTTTGCCCCCTTTGAATTAGATAGTTTTTCTTTTCTTCTTTCTTTTCCCTTAAACTTTCTATGTTAAATTAGAGAATGAAGAGATTGTGGTTTCACCCCAAGGCTTGTTCCATTCTCTTAACATTCATCCAGCTATCTTCTCTGGCTGTTAATTAAACCTAACTGGTTTGAGCATATTTCCAATTTATCTAACATACAATTGATAAATTGTCTCTTTAATCTAGCAGACAATCAGAATTTAATTTATTTTGGTAAATTTTGTGATAACATGATTATTTTCATTGTTCTTTCATCAACTGGCTGGCTTAACTTTTGAATGGTCCTAATAATGCTTTTAGTTATGAGTTGCAACATTTGCTCCATTTGCAGTTTGAAGTAATGTTTTTTTTTATTCATATTCAGTTTGTGGTTGCTTAACGTTGAGATATTGTACATGTATTCATGGGTGTGGTTCAGCTTATATGTATCAATAATCTTATGTCATTTATTTCCTGTGCAGAATGCCTTTATACCTTGGCTTGTTAGGGACTGGATTGAATCTTGCCATCATGTTTTATACAAGTATGTTGGCATGGACTGTAAGGAGGGTTGATGAAAAGTGGGAATGGTTAAACATTACAGCTTTGCCGTATCTTACCTTGCTTGGACTTGTCTCCTTTTGCTTGTAAGGAAAATAGTTTTGCTATTTCTTCATAGATTTGTTGGGTGGCATGTATACAATTCCTCTTCACGTATTGCCAACATTTTTCATGCAGGCTCTGCTTTGCTCTGTGGCCTATATGGGGTTTCTTGACCCTTCCTCTTCTGGTACATTTCATGGCATTGATTTTGTTGTTTTCAATTGACCAATATTTCTCCTGTGGAAATTGTCTAATTATTATTTTGTGCTTCTGCAGTTTACGCTGTTTATGGCTGGCTTGGTCGTATACCCTCATATCATGATTGAGAAATTGAGGCCACAAAATGAATTTTTTCCGCATGGATTAAGCGTAGTGGTATAAAGACACAGTACTAACTTTACATGAAAATACAAATAAAAAAGATGGATGGTTGGCAGCATCAGCTATTGACCGCAATTGTTTTAGCTTTCGGCCTTTGCTTCTCATGACATTTTGTGCCCTATTGGTGCTGCTGATGATACAGCTAATTGTCTTTATCAGTCTGAATTTACATCAAAATGTCAACCTTGCCTTGATGGTGCTTGGTGCACCTTGTTATTGCATCTTAGGATTTTGCGTACTATGATCAAATCTGGAGGACAGGTCTCATCTACTTTAACTTTTGTGTTCATCTGATGATATTGAGGCATCATTTAGTGATAGACAGGATTGTTCTTTCAGAAGAAACTCTTTTGTATTGAACCACATCTCTGCTGCAGGGCATTCCTCTTCTGTTTCTGCAGTGTATACTTATCTGAAATGAAGACGATACAACGAAAAGAGCTTGGTTTTCATGTTACAATCTGAAAATTTATCTTTCTTGTTATCGTCTTTCTAAAATCACCCATCTCTTGTTTCATTTTTCCTTTGTTGTTCAGCTGCAAGTGGTCGATCATTTTGTTTTATGACTCTTCGCTAACAGGCTTGAGCTTGCCCAATTTGAAGACTGAAAAATTAGAAAATAGAGTCATAGCTAAACTCCTGAAAATCTCAAAGTATGATAATCAAATGATCATATCCCAACTTCCCAAGTTGGGAAGAGAAAACCTCAGCCTGACATGGCTTTGAATATTTTTATCTTGGATTTAGACCGAGTAGAATTGGACAATGCTCAATCATTTAAAAAAATAATGGCAAGTGGAGTTGCGTTATCAATCATCAATCAAACGAAACTCAGTCCACAAATCATCAACTAATAACATGAATGAAAGCAATTTATAAGAATCTCGCGAGAGAATGAATAACTAATGCTTGGCATTTTCTGGGAAAAAAATAAAGAAAAAGAAAAACTCAAGCGTTGGAATTCTGGATGGTCGCAAATGCTACAAATGTCTGCCATTCACAATTTCAATTTATTTATTAATTTCTATGAACTGTAGCTGTCGACAGCATTAGTTTCAATTGAAGCCAACAAAAAAAAGTGGAAGAAAACAGTGTTGAATAGACACTTCATCAACTCCAATATGTCTTGTAAACCTTGTCTTCTTTAAGGACAGAAGAAAATGATGAACAGATAAAGACAGAGAAACAATTTGAAAAGAATCCTTCTTTATCTGTACAGTATCTACAATTCGTGTAGTAGGTATATATTCTTTGAATCCGTCCAAAATTTTGGTTATATTTTAAAGGATTTAAAGTTTTAATAAAAATTATATATAAATTTGATAAAAATTTAAAAAATATGCTTGTTATTTCACATATCTATATAAATCATGACATAATAATTTAAAATAAATAAATCAATATAATAAATTCAAATTAAAAAAAAAAAGTCGTCAAAATGATAAGTATTAGAACTACATAGTTCACGAGGCTAATTTTCAATGGCAACAGGCAAAGGAAATTATTCAATCCACATTCCACCCACAAAGTACAAACTCCTCGATATTTCAAGATTGATTTTCAGTTTAAACAACTCTAAAAGGGAATTAAAAAGGAATTGTTTCTTTTTCACATGGAGTGATTTTAAGCAAACTTAGATGAGTTTCACTTGGAGTCTATTCTGGATTGATCATGGTGCTGTACTGATCTGAAGTGGCCTAAAGTCTTTTCTATCTGAACAGTTCAAAGGAAGAAAGAAAAAGAAAAGCCCACTTGGGTGAAAATGGTTAATCCTGGATTTATAACCATAGCTTTATTCAGGATCCATAGATGACGACCAATTGGATGAATTTGTATGAGAAAGTTAAAAATGTGAACCCCACAACAATGACTTTGTTAAAAACCCCAGAAAAAGACCCTCAACCATGTTTGTCCCCCAAATAGGGAAAGGCATTTCAGCATCATAATTCTCACCTTAGTGCTCAGAATAATTCTTAAGAATTTGCATCACCAGTCTGTTTATCTTAATCCTTTCATTTGTCTAATACAGGATGTTATTGTGGAAGAGGAAGCAAAAGGTGGGAGACCTTTGTAGAAAAAAGATCAGATCCAAAGAGAACATGGTTTTTTTTTTCCTATAATTGTCTTCTGTACAAGTAAGTTCAGTTGAAATCGACAAACTTAGTTGCATTCTTCAACATCAATCAATTCAAATACATTTCCACCACAAAGCATGCAGAAGCCTGATTTTTTACTTAAATTTTGTGTTTTCATTCGAGAAAGTGGTGTATGATTTTCTTTTACTTATGCTTTTCTTTTTTCTTTTTGTATCATGGGAAGATATTGTTGTCATGATGCCAATGCCATGTAAGGCATAGGTCAAGCTGTGGATGGCCAATTATAAAATAAACACTAAATGCAATGGAAAGCTCACACTTCCTATAGGGATCTAACATAATGATGAACTGTTTTTGCAGAAAGATCATGAATAATTTTTTGATAAATTTTCTATATTCTGCTAAACTATCTGTTTGGAACTTTCTTTGGATTGTGAGGAATGGTTGAAGTGTCTATTTAGATGACTTCATAAATTGGCCAAACTGGTTTCAGTTTTTTTATTGTTCAAATCAATATCAGCAAACGAAACCCTAAAAATAAAACTATAGCCTGCTGACAGTGCAAAAGACTATGTTTAGTTGCCCAAGTCCAACCATGTCTTTTCTTTGGAGAGGAAAATTCTTACATGGAGACCTTAAATATAGGACGAAAAGTCCACCCCTGTCTCGCATAATAGGCCAAGTCTTCAACAACCATAGGGCATAGAACAGTCGGGCGGCCACCTTTCCCTTTCATAAGGAAATGCTGCACCATTATTAATATGATAATTAATATATTTATATTGTGTTTGTATCACATTAAATATATATAAAATATAAACAATTATTATATTAAATTTATATCAATTTATTTTTTATTGAATGAAAGGTACAAAATAAATTAGATTGATTTTTTAAAAAAAAAAAGCATCTTGTAAAATCTTTAGTTTTTTTATTTTCTTTACCAAACAAAAGAATTTTTTTTTGTATTTTTATCAAATTTATAAATAATTTTTATTAAATTTTAAATCATATTATTTTTATATTTTTTTATATTATTTTCATATTATGTTACTGTAGTACATAAAATTATTATCTCTATCTATTACTGAGATGTGTTTTTATCCAATGCATTGGATCTTGCATTAATCTTAATTATTTGGTGAAGTGGATGATGCTTTTTGCTCTGCATACTTGTACAAAAGAATTTGATTTTCCGAGGGAACACTCCAGCTCCAATCTTCAGTAATTTCCCATCCATGCAAGAAGGTTCATTGCATAGTGTGGGATCTAATAAGCACAGATTGCTTGAACTTCAATTTTCCAAACTACAAAGCTAAGCCTGAAGGTTAATTACATCCTCTGTTTTTAAAAACCAAACTGACCCCCAAGTAATCAATACTTAATTATTCAAAATGGGTAATGATTATAAAACAAGTAGTTCAGACAGCTACTATGGCCTCCACATGATGAAGAATTGTGTGGTCAGAAGAACAAAATTACTTATGACATTGTATCTAAAGACACACATGCTATAACTGACTTGCACACATTTTCTTACATGCAAGAGCCCTAATCCACAATTCTGATACAGTACATCTAAAGAAGAAAAGGGTTATAGCTAAAACTTTTTTTCAAACAAAAAAAGGGTTAATCTACATCTACTATCATATTTAATGGTTATAATAATCTTGAAAAAAAATATCCTCATATGTGTACAAAAACAAATGTAATTATCCATTCATTCTGAATATGTGTTATTCAAAAGTTGACTCATTGAAATCCAAAATTTGTTAAGCACACCAACATTATAAATTTTGAGTTCGAATCATTTAGTTGTTGTACGTGGAAGTTCAAAAAAAATAAAAGTGTAAAGATCATAATTACAAATTTCAAAAATATAAAAAATATTAATCCTTATATTGTATGAGTTTATAAGCTATAATTAAAAGTCATTATCAACACATAATAAGTTAACAAGTTGAGGAGAAAATCTTATGAGTTTATAACCAATAAGTTAATCAATAACCATATAGAGTTCTCTATTAAGTTAAGGAAAAATCTTTAATCAAATCTTGTCCTCCAAAGTCCAAGCCACCAAGTTATGACTCTACACCGTAAAAAAAGAAACAAAAACAAAAAAACTGTAGCCCCAAACTGAACAGTCTGAAAAGAGAAAGCAAAAAGCATATATATGAGTGTGATAGGGATAGCTATATGTATGGCTATCATAATCCAATCACAGTGATCTTATGTTTCACTAAGAAGATCTACTAAGCAAGGCCCAGTTTGATCAATGATCATCATATTCAGACAAGATCCTAAAATCTCCAAAATGCCCTTTGTGGAGTACCTTAGGTGATGTGTAATGAATCAGATGTGGTGTTCAACCTGTACTTGAAACCCCTTCTGTTACGTTTTATGGAGATGTGGGAACCACAGTCTTTCGTTTTAAATCTTTGTCCAACCCTCAGAAAAAAAAGGAAAGATACAATAAAATTCACAAAATCCTTGTCCTAAAACCAAGAGTGTTCATTCTTCATAAACAGGCAACAGCTATTTTCTTATATGTAAGTTGCTGTGTTAACATATCTTCTCTTCTCCCATAAAACAAACCACCAAAGTGTCATCATTTAAGGCTCTTTCTCTCTTCCTTTTACTGTTTTAGGTCTGCTTTTCTCTCTCTCTCGTTGAATAAACTCTTGGCTTAGTAGGTTGTGCCGTTGAGGTAGATGGGCCCTGAACTCCACTGAAACATTATAATGGGACTCTATCTCCTCTTTCAGTGCTCTCTTTGCCCCCATTTTTTGTGCTGTAACGCATCCTAAGTTTTCTTTTTTGCCATTTTCTTTTTTCTTTTTTTAGTTCTTAATGCGCAAAAGATAAGCTTCTGGGGTTTCTGTATTTCCCTTTTGAGACCATGGCGGGTTGTTTTATGGGGTTTTTGTGTTTGGGTTTTTGATTTTACACTCAGGTTTTGGATATTACCTGGTAAAAGTTGTTGGATATGAGTGGTATTCAAAACTTTGGCTGACTTTGGCTATTGAGCTCCGAGCTCCCTTCAGGCCTTCAATCTGCAAATTTTCCATCTTTTTGAGATTATTGAGGTGTTTGATCGTTAAGGTTTAGGCCTTTACATTTAAGATTGTCATTCAAGTTGTGGATTTTGTTAAGATGAAAAGTCAGCTTTTTTTTTCGTACATAAAAGGCAGCTTCTTGTTCAGCATGGATCTCCGATATTGTTCTTTTGAAAATGGAAAATTTTGAAGTGAAGTGATGATGATAGTGAAATTTGTGATTTGTAGTTTATGTTTGTTCGGTCGAAGAATGACGATTGAGAGATAGGGCTTGATTCTGGAGGTGAGTTGTAGCGAGTTTGGTGTGGGCTAGTTGTTGAAAGAGGAAACCATGGACAGAATGATTCAACCTCCATTGGTAAGTTGATTAGTCGTTCCTTTCTGATTTAAATTCAATCATTTTATATGTTTGAAGAGATGTTTAATGGTTTTTTATGATAACAGCTAATGCTTGCCTTTCAAACTACTTGATGTGCTTGTGCCTGGGTGGTCCAATTCGTTCTATGTTTGATTTTTTACTTGTCAAACTACATGGACCACATATTTCTCATAGGCTGGAACCTTAGCTCTCTTTTGAGTTTTGACTATTGTGATTGATTGTGTACCATCCTTCTGTTATATATGGTTTACAAATCTTGGTTGAAGCCTCTTTCTAAAATTATTCTCCAGTAGACTTATTTGTTATCTTATTGAAGGTATGGTATTTTTGCGTGCGAGCTTATATGCGGATGAAGTCATAACCATAATAACATAAGAAATCTACACAGAAACATGTTTGTCTAACTCACATCCATCATATCTTTGACCGAAAATCTAAACTTAAAAGTTGCTATTTTTTGCAGCCTTGGGGATGGTAAACACTCAAAATGTGAAAACCAAAGAGTTTAACAACTCAAGGGGTTTTCCCGGGTTCTAATGATTGCAATAGAGCCCAAGGTACTACCTGTAGGAGCCAGTGCAATTAGTTTAGAAAGTGCATCCCTATCCTTAAAGTTAAAAATCTGCTTTCTTTCATTTTATTTCTTTCAAATTTTTTTTTTTCTCGGTTTAGGAGCTTTCTATCAATTTCCAGTGCTCTTTGTGGGTTCGAGATTGTGTATGAGACTGTCTTATACTATCTGTGTGGGACTTAATGGAAGAGGAATCTGCAACGTGTTACTTCCACTCAAGGCTCATGTTCCTTGAGTGATGGTGAAACTGTCTTTGGTTTTTATTTTGATACTAACCTCAATATATAGGTCCCAAATGGTTCAGATTGTTGGTTGGATCTTGCAATACTGTTTTTTGCACATTCATCATACTGATTGCAAAAATCAAAGTGCAACATCTGCTTAAGATGGTAATTGTTGCTTGAATGTTCAAATCTAGGTTTAACAATAAAAGAAAAAATTGAATGTGAAACATTATTATCCAGATTATACGTGCTAGAACTGCTTTCTATCATGGCACCTTGGTGACTCGGTATGCCCGTCTTTCTTGATGCTGACACCAACCTAGTGCATGTTATGAGCTTCCTGTTACTGTAGTAAGAAAGTGTCTATGAAAAAAACCCTCATGGATTGTGAATGTCTTGGCAGGTTGATACAACGGCATGTTTATGTAGAGTAGATGCTGGACTCAAAACTGTTGCTGGAGCGAAAAAATATGTACCTGGTACAAGACTCTGTCTCCAGCCTGATATTAAACCATCCATTCATCCAACAAGGAACAAGGCAGCACGCAGTGATAGGAGCCGTCACCAGTCTCCTTTGCTCCCAGGACTCCCTGATGATCTTGCTATTGCTTGCCTGATACGGGTCCCCCGTATTGACCACAGAAAGCTCCGTCTGGTCTGCAAAAGATGGTATAGACTTTTATCTGGTAATTTCTTTTATTCACTCCGTAGGAGCATTGGAATTGCAGAAGAATGGATATACGTCATTAAGAGAGATCGAGATGGAAAAATTTCTTGGCATGCCTTTGATCCCATATACCAGCTCTGGCAGCCACTCCCTCCAGTCCCTAAGGAATATTCTGAAGCCCTTGCGTTTGGATGTGCTGTCCTCAGTGGTTGTCACCTTTATTTGTTTGGTGGTAAGGATCCATTAAAGGGATCAATGCGACGAGTCATATTTTATAATGCCAGGACAAATAAATGGCACCGTGCCCCAGATATGCTTCGTCGAAGACATTTCTTTGGTTCGTGTGTTATAAACAATTGCTTGTATGTTGCTGGTGGAGAGAATGAGGGAGTGCATCGGTCATTGAGGTCAGCTGAAGTCTATGATCCCAACAAGAATAGATGGTCTTTTATTTCAGATATGAGCACAGCTATGGTGCCCTTCATTGGGGTTGTATACGAGGGAAAGTGGTTCTTGAAGGGTCGTGGATCTCATCGACAGGTGATGAGTGAGGTCTACCAACCAGAAACTGACAGTTGGTACCCTGTCTATAATGGAATGGTTGCAGGCTGGGGGAGGAACCCATGTGCTTCCTTAAACAGGCACCTTTATGCTTTGGACTGCAATGATGGTTGTAAGCTGAGGGTTTATGATGAAGCGACTGATTCTTGGAGTAAGCATATTGACAGTAGGATACATTTGGGCAATTCTAGGGCTTTGGAGGCAGCAGCTCTTGTTCCACTTAATGGAAAACTTTGCATCATTCGAAATAATATGAGTGTATCTCTGGTTGACGTTTCAAAATCTGATGATCTGAGGGGAGCTACTGCTGAACATTTATGGGAAACTATAGCAGGGAAGGGTCAATTCAAAACCTTGGTTACAAATCTTTGGTCTAGCCTTGCTGGCAGGAACCGGCTGAAAAGCCACATCGTTCACTGCCAGGTTCTCCAAGCATAATGACTGTAAATTTTTCCCATATAGGGTTGGCTCTGTAGTTCATGCCATTTGGTATCTCCTGAATGTGATAGGGTTGAGGGGCCAATAGCTTGCCAGGATTGTGCTTCTCATGCACAAAAATCCTTCTTTGTAGGTTCAAGGATCGGATATACCATGAGGTATGAGGTATTAATGAGGATTTCTGCTTTTGCTAGATTGTTAGGGTTACAAACATTTATATAATACACAATTAAATGTAGAAAATTGAAAAAGCTTGTTCAATTGCTCTTTATCTCTTCAAACGACTGCAATCTGTATCATCCCTCTACATGGGTTTCAAAGCTTGGATGTGACAATCGTAGTTAGCACCTCACCGGTCAGGGACAACTTTTCAACATAGTGCAGAAGGCTTATTAAAATGATATTCGACACATCTAAAATTTAAAATTTAACATTTACAATATTTTTCTCGATCTTCAAATCACAGCTTTCCATGTAAAAAATGTAAAAAGTTAGAAATGAGAATAATTTTGCCATAATATGGTTTGGTAGCTTCTCATTTTCGTTCTTGAGCTAAACCTCCCATCAGAACTTGGAATGACCTCTGCCAAATGATCACAAGCTAAACTACTGCTAACCGCAATTTATGAGTCCTAAAGTGATAAAAAAAGATTAAAAAAAAATGAAGATAGCACTGTCGGATTGACCAGAAAATATACCAAATGTATCCATTTAATAAGCAACATGGAGGTGAAACCAACTAAATTAAACTTGCTTCAATCCTATTAGGTGAAACAATGCCAGATTATGATGTCTGCGACAAGAAATTGAATCCAGCAAGATCATAAAAAACGAAAGGATACATCTGAGACGATGCCGAAATGGTATTGCCCAGCTATTTGGACCTAGTTGGGGTTCGAGAAACATGTTCTGCTAAATCAGGGTGACCCAGAAATTGCTTTATTTTTTTCAATCTTTGATTTTAAACTTTGTTTCTCATAAATGGATATAAAAGAATATTTTACAAAAATACCAATAAAAGGAATCAAAATGCTATCCCTATAAATCCGTAACATACAGGATTTTGCTATTCGGGCGTGCACTTGCAATCTTATGCTGTTCCAGATCTTGATAAATGAGATTGTGCAAGTGAGAAGCACATCTTCTTCTGCCTCTGGTATTCATTATACCTCAAGAAGAAATAACCAAGATAATCAAAATCGATGGGAGACATCCTTGCCTATGATTAGCAGAAAGACAAAAAAGATGGAAACTTAGATACATGTCATGGTTTCTTGAGCTTGAAAAGCATAGCTTGGGAACAAAAATACCTGGATTAGGGCCCATAAAGCCCAATACAAATGTGAAGCTAACATGAATGTGTTTGTCTCGACATAGAGAGCTTCAAGATCATTTTCTGATACCTATGGTTAACAAAAAGAGCTTTAATTGCAGAGATTTTTCAAACTGAAAAAGCAGCATTCCATTAGTTTCTAGTCTAATACATATCTCAATATTCTAAGAGACAACCATATAATAATGAAAAAAATTTATCATTCTATTTCAAAATCTAGTATTATGAGGGCTACCAGACAGATCACTCATGAGTGGCTAATAGCAGCTCTAAATGGCCTTCATATCAATTTAGCATCCCAATAATTATAACCTTAATGCAGCCTCTAGCTAGTAAATGGCATGTTAACAGTTATAGCAAGATTATATGCAGTGTGCACTACTCATCTGAAGACAAAATAACAAGTTCATTTAACACACACACACCAGATAACAGGATGCAGTAACTCCTATTAATTACACGATAAAATAACCCTCAATATGGCTCAAATAATGCACATAGAATTGATTCAACCATTGGAAGCTGTAACAAACTAACAATGTATTCTATTTCAGGGGCAATCTTGTCAAACTTAAAACCTTATTGTTCGAACCACATGCACCCAGTCAGATATCATTACATACCTCATATGGTTTTTCAGGTAGTAAATAATGCCTGAAAAAATGATATTGTTCATCTTTACTAGGATACCTACATTAACACCATGTTAAGTAATCAGTAGGTGCCAATCTGTTCAATTATTGATCATTGTTGAACAAAAATCACCGATAATTGAAAAGCAGAAAATATACAGGAACATACAAGCTATAGTCACAGTCATAGCCTGCATATTCATTGAAGTGATTTCCAATGTCAAAGCCTCTGTAATTGTATGATCCATACTCGAAATCTATGAAGTAGAGCTTATCTGGACATTGATGACATAAACAGTTTGGTCAACACACAAGAAGAAATTGGAACAATGTATAGGTAAGCAGAAGAAACTATTCTTGGTTTCCAACCAGTTATCAGGAACCAAGAAAAGATCACATTCCTGTGTCTTGAGGTTATTGATTCATAAGACATCCTATTCCTATGTGTTTATCATGGTGACATGCCAGTATTTTTATTAAGCAATAACATTAACAATAAACTTCTCAAAAGGATAAAGACTGATCTTCAACCCACTGATGTCTTGCAGAACAGAACATCCTTGTATGTATCAATATATGTCATACTACACTCTACTGTGAACATGTTTCAACTTGTGTTTGTATCAGATGAAAACATAGACACTACTTATTGGATACTGGCTAGTGCAAGGTTGACACAGTTTCAAGTAATACAATTAGAAAATAAACACAAACGGATGCATTTGACGGTTCTTTTTCCTTTCTTTTTTTGGTTCTTACATGCTCTCAAGTGTGTGACGATCAAATCTCAATCATATAACACAAACTTATTTTGGTTGGAAATGGGCAATGTTCAGAATTAGAAAAGAAAGATCTACAGGGGCTTCATGATCCATCTCTTGAATGATGCCTTATATTTACCAAGGAAACAATAAAACCCAGTACAGATTACATTTTTGCAGGATTTACCACATTGCCAGCAGCCTATGCCCACTAAGTCTCATATTGACATCTTAATATTCCCGTATCTATCATGCAACAGTGCTTTGTTTTTAAGAACTAGCATGCAATAGTTTTTAGATATCCTTCATGGCTAACCAGCAGTATTGGTTCATTAGTCACTACATATGATTTGCTTATCTATGGATTGTAAAAAGAGCAGAAACCAAACCCGATACATCATATGGAAAATTTCTTTGGATAAATATACTGTACCCATAATGACATCTAAACCCATGTGCTATGCCTACTGATCTCCAGTTGAATCTTAATATTCTTATATCTATCACACCATAGCATTTTGTTGCAATAGTTTTTAGATATCCTTCATACCTCTAACCAGCAGTGTTGGTTCTTTTGTCACTATATTATAATTTGCTTATCTATGATTGTAGAAAGAGCAAATATCAAACCCAATATCAACTTACAGAAATTTTCTATGGATAAAGACACATCATTCATCTTGAAATATATGAGTGAAAAAGTGTGCATGTGCCACTCAAATGTCTATGTGAGTGTGTCTGTGTGTTTGTCTACGAGTGTTTGTGTGAGTGTGTGTGTGTGTGTGTGTGTGAGAGAGAGAGAGAGAGAGAGAGAGAGAGAGAGAGAGAGAGATGCATGTAGAGTACAGGACATATCTACTGCAATTAGGAACCAACCTAAACATGTATGCATGTTCTCCCAGAGTCAACAGAACAAGAGGAAAGATGGCTGGCTAGCAGTATGAACAATCTCAAAATTATAAGTACATACCATGTTCATCATTAAGCATCAAATTTCCAGAAAGTAAATCATTGTGAGCAAACACCACTGGAGCATTAAGAAGGCCTGTCAATTCCTGGTCCATCATCAGGAGACGCTCTCATAAACGAGGATAAAGTTCTTGATCTTACAAGAATCAACATATAATCAGAAATAAATGACCAAACAGTATGTGAGCAAGAATTCCTGAGCCAATAAGCATGTAACACCTTCACTTTATCAGCACCAGATGAATCAACCAAATATAAAAGAGATCTTACCTTCAGCTGTGTAACTTCCCTATGTACTTCCTTAAATGAAATTGCCTCATATATCTTCTGTTTATCAATATTTTCAAACCGGAGAGCAGATGCTGCAATATAAGGCCTCGAGCATTAGATATACATCATGCACTGCTAGGCAATAATCTTGACAAGAAACTAAATGAGCCCACATTAATGAGTACCATTGGCAATAGCAGACTGTAATCAGTCCAAACTCCAGATAAACAGCGCTCTCTTAAAAAACAAAACTTGAAAATAAACAAAAGAAAGAAGACAGATATTGAAGTCACTGCAACTGGAAGACAGTCCATTTCAAATTTATTTTAGCTGCAAAAACCGTCGAATAACACCATGTAGAAGTTGTTGGTTCTCAAACCTTTCTCAAAAAACTTGAAGATGTCAACCCATAGCTGAGGTTCTTTAGAACCTGGAATTTCCACCTCATGGAATCTATGAAGTTGCTTTGCAATTTCTGCAACCAGCTTTGGCTTTCTCATGTCTGCAAGGGGAATGATAGGTTCAAATTATCAGTACACAGCTTGCAGGCCCAACAATAACTTGCATTTGAGTTAAAGAACAATCGTCAGCATTAAAGGTAGTAATTACTTGTCGAGAAATCAGCGCCTCTGTAAATTAAATTAACTATAGTATGAGGTTAGGCCAAATATCGATAATAGTCATGAAATAAATAGGACAATAAAAAACATCAAGAGAGGCAAAGAACTTTCTTAAGGGTGTCACCAGTGTAGAATATGAGATTAAGATGCTCAAAGGCATAAACCCTCTCAAATTACTGATGTCTAAAGAACACAACTTCAAGAGCAAGTCTTACTCCAATGGGTAATCTCTCTAGTGCTTACCTGATGGAGTTAAGGTACGCGCATTTATAAAAGATTGCACCATGCCATTTCCAAAAACTCCAAGCAACTTGGCACCAAATCCTGCAGCCGATAGGTATTTGATCGCCTAAACACAATATGACATGAGCAATTACAAAGTATAGAATGGAACGAAAAGGTGCATCAACTAGAAAGGTGGTAATGAAAAAGGATGGGATGAATCATAACTAGTAAAATTTTGTTTGGAAGAACATCAAAAAGACATACAATACCATCTTCTTGAATTTCCATCGTACTTAAAAATTATTTAGCATATCCTAAAGGCACCTCAATTACATGCATGTAAGCAAAATATTTTAAAAGAAATCATAAATCAACAATTCCTTTGGCCAAATTAGATTACTTCTCCATTAAGTCACAGACCCAGGAAACAAAACACTAAAAGAGTTTCCCAAATGTGTTTCAACTTTAAGCAAGGTTTTAGCAATTTGAAGGTTATATTATACAAACCAATATCATTCCGCTAAAAAGGTGCAATTTTGGGAAGGCAGTTTTTCTACAGAAATTAGTAGCAAAAAGCATAGGGGAATACCAGTAACTCCCGTTGGCGATTGATGACATATTCTGTGTTAGGTCCATATAATCTAACTGTTACAGCCACCTCATCTCCATTTTCTTCCTTTACAGAAACCTTGAGCACTGCATTAAATTATTCATGCTTAGCAATTAAATTACCACAAAATCAATCAAACACAGCAAATAGAACCAGAAAAATATAAAAAAAAATGTAAATTTAAACGCAAAACCGTTCTGTAACTTGTTTTTTCCTTTTTGTTTTTCAATTTAAACACAATAACTGCAAATTGAGTTGAAAAACCGATCTAATAAAAATATTAATAATAAATTACTCTCTCCTAAGCTTCCTGCTGCTCCACAAAGAACGAAAATTTCCCGTTCAGCTGATAAAAAGGAAAACAAAATTTAAAATATATATAATAAACAGCAAAAAGCGAAGTGCTCACGAAGATTCGTGATGCCGCCAGATACAGTCTTGACGGAGAAGCAAGAATCGTCCAACTTCACCCATTTCCCAAAGAGATCCTTACACAACTCGCTGCGGAAATGTATATAAAAAAAAAAGCCGTAAAACCAAATAAATTCGAATTCCTGGTGTTTGAGCTGGCCATACTTAGCTTAAAAACAATTAAATAAATATTGAAGATCCGCCAAAATCCATACGAAAATCAAACTCTAAAAGTAAGCTACGCTAACAGCTAAACAGAGAAGAGATAAAACGAACATGACGCGAGGGACCATGACGGGAAAAGAAAGAGCGGTATCGATGGAGCGAGGAGAGTAAGGAATTGAATCGTCAACGGTTGAGTTGTTGTTGTTGTTGTTGTTGTTGCTTTGTTTAGCTTGGCTTGCTGCGACGTCCATGGCTGTCCAGATCTTTTTCGTTGCTCCCATTGTTGTGTTTTCTTAATCCTTAGAGCTTATATTAAAAAACTTTGGCAAAAATTCGAAAGAATCGAGATTTTTTTGGGAAGCTCCAGTCAGAGGAGGGGACGGGAATATTATAGGCATAATAATGGAGAAAAATAGGAAAATAGGTGAAAAGACGGATATGGGTTTGTTATTAGAATTTTGTGAAACGTCAGATATTTTTGTTAGCACAAAATGGAATTTTATTAATGAATGTTCCTTTAATAACCTTAATATTATTTGATTTTGATCCGAGTAACTTTATCTTAAAATGAATTTTGAGGCTCAGTTAAATTTTAAGCTCTAATTTAAGTAATCTCAATTCAAAGCTCAATTTTCAAGTTGAAATGGTTGGGTTTTTTTTAATGTTAGAGGTTAATTATTACCATATGTGTCAATTTAATATTAATTCATAATATATATATATTGGTCAGATTTTTTCGAGAAGATTTAAATAAGTAATATATTTAACATTTTTTTCATGCTTGAAAAATATTTAATTTAAAAATGTGATGAAAAATATATGATTTAAAATTTTTATACATTTAATATTAATATAAAAATTTATTATTATAATTTTAAATATTTAAAAAGTTTAAAATAATAAAATTTTATAAATAAGAAAATAATAAAGTCATTCTAGAAAAAAAAATTATTATTGACCACAAAAGTTTTTTTATTAGTTTTTTATTTAAATTTACAAATCATACTTTTAAACCAAAAAACTACTTTTTCGTTGTTTAGTTTAAACTTTGTGAAATGCCGTTTTTTAACACAAAGGTAACTTTTTACCTAGTTTTAATCAGATAATAGATTGAAAGTTAGGAGTGTATTAGAAAATAAAAAAAATATTACCAAATATTAGTTAAAGCATGAAAAATCGAAATAAATTACTCTCTTCATCTAAAATTTATTATTTTTATTATTTTTATCAAATTATTTCAACTTTAATTGCTATTTTTAAGAAAATTAAGAAAAAGATTTACAAATTATGAGTTTCAAAATTTTTAAAATATATCTTTTTGAATTTTAATTTAATATAATATTTTATAATACGAATGTCAAATTTTGAGTTGCTTTAATAAAAAAACAATAAAAGATAATTATTTTAAGACGAAATGAGTAATAAAATTAGTAAATCAAAATAAAAATAATTAAATAGATAATTTTAAATTATGAAATCGAAATAAATTAGTAAATCATGCTTTCTTTCACTTTAGAATTGTTAGGGAAATTTGCCTATATAATCCCTTTTGGTTATTGAAATTTTTATACAGGCTGGCGTAGTTCCAGGCTCGGCACGCAAACGACCCAGCAACAACGGAGAAAGTACTTACAAGTTAATTAATTATTACAAGTAGGGTGGCCAGGCAGCGGTAGCTTTCTCAGATCTAAAACGAAAGGCAATCTTTGACACAATCGAAACGAAAGCCGAAGTCAAAGGCCCAAAGCCACATTTTTTTTATGCTTCGTGGCTCCTGCCTTGGTTTTGGTCAAAACAAAATTGTGGTGGGGACGAATTGTCAAATATCAAGATTCGGGGTTGTCGGTTTCAATGCGTCACTTGCCTATTCTTAGCCTACACGTGTTCCTCTGCAAATATCTGATTCATGGTTTTTATAAAATTTAAATAAAAAGAAATTATTTTATTTCATTAGCATGGAGTGAGTTTTAATGAGAATTTAAATTTTATAAATAAAATATTTGATTTTTATTAATTTAATTAATTTCATCAAGATTGAGAGGAAAAATTATATTTTATAAATTTAATTATTTCAATCATAATCTAACACTTTACTTTAGGTTAAAAAACACAAATATTTATCAATGATTTTATTGAATTCCATTTATTAAGTGCCATTTGGCTTTGATCACCGACTTGTCACTGTCAGGAGACGAAGTTTGGGAACGTCAAACAAGGAATTAGGAGAGGAAAATTGTATAATTAGCTTACTAAGATTAAGACAGCAATGCATAGTTGAGATGCAAAAATTGTACGTTTGTTGACTAATGGCAGATTGTGACTTGCCGTGACAGGTTAGCTTAGCTTAACGAAATAAAATTAAGAAAATAAAAGATGTGAAATGAAAACAAAAGGATAGTTAGGGTCCAAAAAGTATAAATGTTTTAGGATTAATTAATCCAAATTTCAAATAGAAATTAAAAAATAACAGTATTTATAATTGTATTGTCGGTCTAAATATTTTTGTAAAAAATAAATAAATATTAAAATTTAATGACATAATTAATGATTTTACAAATAAAAAGGAAAATATTGAGGAAAAATATGGTATGGATATGATTAAATTTATAAAAATATATAAATATTACTAATAATATAGAAATAAAAAATAAAATTGTACAAGTAAAATCGAAGAAAATAAAAATATAACAAATGTTTGTATTCTATTAAAAAAACCTCGAGTAACACTGAGGCCAGTTTCACTCTGTTAACATCAAACTAATGGGTTTCACTTGGAGATGGACTATACATCCAAGGTAGCTCGGCCCACTCAAAGTTATAAAGCCTAAAAGGAAGTGGCATAGGCATTGGATCAACAACAGACTCACTCGGATGTACCCAAGGACGAAAGAATCAACAGCTGAGTTGGTGTTACAGAGCAGCCATTTCTTCCCAAACCAAGTCACTTACAGAGACGATGCTGAGACAGCTCTTCACAAAACCAACAGTGAAGCATGCCACTTTCAGCTTTATTCAGTTCAACCCACACGTGGGTCATTTATCTTTTTTCTTTTCTTTCGATTTTCTCACCCTTCCAATCCATTTTCATTCCAATTGTTAAGTTACAATTCTGGGTTTGTTGTTTTTACAGAGAGAGATGCATAGCAGAAACAAGAAAGCAATGGAGTTAATAGCAAAAGGGTGGAGTGCTTTGAAAGAAGTTGACAGAGTCATTGATTACTGCGAGCTCAATGATAAACGCCTCATCCCTCTCCTTAGGGTACTTAAAGGGGATTGGAAACTTTTATTATCATTATCATTGAAAAGCCTTTTCCGTTTGGATTTATGTTTTCTAATTTTTAACGTTTAATGTTAGGCAGCGAAGGAGAATTTTGAGTTGGCGTTGGAGGCTGATAATTCCAATACACATGCTAAGTATTGGTTATCCAAATTGCATTTGAAGTACCACGTTCCCGGGGCATGTAAAGCCATGTAAGTTTATATTTGCAATCCACACATAATTGCATACTTGTTGTATTGAATTATGACTTATTGGACCTCACAATTCTGATTTAGCTTCTAGCTACATTAATTGAAATGATGATGGTTTTGTATGTTGATGCATATGATTTTTTCAATGTTTGTTAGCATCCATGTTTTTATGTATATGATTTCTAGGCTTGATTTTCATATTAAAGTTTTTCTTTTTGCTAATCTCATCCTGTTTCTGTTACGTGTTAGATTTAATTTTCTATATAGACATGGATGTTAAAACTAACTACCTCATTTCAATAGAGGAGCTGCTTTGTTAGTAGAAGCTGCAGAGATGGGCGATCCAGATGCACAATATGAATTAGGTTGTCGTCTAAGAGTTGAGGTTAGGCTCCCGTTTCTTAAATATTGATGCTACAATAGTTTAAGCTGCTTGTATGAAGCTATAGACATTGATTTAGTGAATTTTGTCGAGTAATACTCTTTTCAGGAGATTGCCTTTGTGATCTGTTACTTGTTCAACAAATGATATCTTTTGCTTTCTAATATTCTGGCTTGTTGTTTTTGGACAGAATGACTATGTCCAATCAGATCAACAAGCGTTCTTTTATTTGGAAAAAGCTATTGACCAGGTAAGTTTCTTTAGAAGTCAGTTGTATGTAGTGCTTTCACAATTTCTCCCAAAACCTTACTAGAACTCCTTATATTATAGTTGCATCCAGGTGCTCTTTACCTTCTAGGTGCTGTATACTTGACAGGGGACTGCGTAAAGAAAGACATTGCTTCAGCATTATGGTGTTTCCACAGGGCATCAGAGAAGGTAAGGTTGCTCTTTGTTCTTATAACATGTGGCTTTGTTTATCACACATGGATCTTCTATGGTTGGGAATTCTTATATGATCATCAAAATTGGTTTTTGGATCTGTTGAGTGAGAAATTGGTCCAACAGATGGTAGCCAGATTAATAGTCTAGTTCATTGGAAGTCAGTTAAGGTTTATGAACTTTTGGAAGGACTTCCGCTCTTTGAACATCATAGCTGAGTGGGGTGGTAGCTGGGAATTGTGAACTTCGTTAATTGAACCTCATGAGGACCAAAATAAAGCATTTTTAATACTCTATTCTAAGTTCAACTGCATAAAATGAAATAGTTATACTTGAAGATAAAGAATCTAAATCACGAAGCAGGATTCTGATTATCTCTCATTATTTTGTTATGGAAGGAGATGGGATTTAATCAAACTATGCATAATGAATGAACAATTATTCTGTCCCAGAATTTCCCACCACCTTCTGGTGATGGTTGTTGGTGATATCTCCTTGCGCGTGATTAAATTTTCCTCCTATAAACAGTGACAGTAGGTTTTATTTTTTTCATTTTAAGTAACTACAGTACTATAAAATTGAAAACGTATATAATTTGCATTATTTTTGCCCCCTATATTTCTATAAGCAAAAGGAAAGAATGTTACAAGTTCTAATACATAGGGGAATCTTATTTTATATTTTCAACTAGTTTTGTACTGTAATGTTCAGATTTTACCTTCTATCCTTTTAAACATATGCAGGGACATGCTGGAGCAGCCATAGCATACGGATCTCTGCTACTTAGAGGTTATATGCCCACCTTCTCAAGATTTTCTCTTGACACCATATTAATGTACTTGTAAGATTTCAGAAGGTTATCGTATTATTATGTAGTTGGTATCAATACGGGTGACTCACATGGAAGGTAAAAGAGAAACATATCACAAAATGAAGGCTAGCTTTAATAGCTAACGCTAGATATGACTTTAACTGGTAGTTATTTGTATTAAGAGATCATTTAGATCTTAATAAAAAGTGCCCATCTAGAAGTTGAAACTTGATTTACATCTTGCTTCTTTGGTTGTCATATGCTGAATTGAAGTCTTAAAAAGTAGTACTATTCTTACTGGCACTTCTTAGGTGTTCAAGTCCCAGAATGCCTAACGAAATTTAGTTCAAAGAGGGGTTCTGCTTCCAAAAGAGCAAGGAAGAATGTAGAATGCCTAGCCACGGATCCAATTGAAATGGCAAAAGAGCAATTTCAAATAGCAGCAACAGCTGGATGTGACCTTGGACTAAAATGGTTGCAAAGACTTGAGGAGGTAGAGAAGCGTCTGTTGAGTGAAAGTAGCTCCACAGATAGTGTTTCACAAGATAAACCGGCGTTGTTATGATATAATCAGATGAGCTTGAAGCCAAATAAGTTATAACAGGTTGATAACTGTTTCCATTGAAGTCTACAAGTAAATTTAATATGAAGTATTATATATGATATGGTGTAATTTTCGTGTATTCTCAATTGCACATTTATGTTTTACATTTGACTCATTGCATTGATGCCATTGTGGAAGACTACATATTCAAGTTTGTCTTTCTAAAATTGACTCTAGTTCTGATCATAGGTGGTTGAGAACTCTCTTGAAAGGTTTGATGATGTTATATAATCTTTATTTCAAATGCTCTCACAAATGGTTACATGAGCCTGAGTGTCCTGCATGCTTGTTTGTTCCCTGGAGCATATTATAAATATTACAGATAACAGAGTTTATGCTGCAAAAAGCTTGAGTCTCCACAGAAGCAAGATTGGCATTGAAGCAACGCAAATTATGTGAACCCTTCGTTTGTCCTGTCACTGCATTGTCCCTTACGTGCTTATTTAAAGCCAAAGTCATAAAACATAAGAAATAAACCCAACAGGAATTGCAGAATTGAACAGCACTGTGATTCTTGGCCACATCTTCCTGGTTTTTAATATGAAATTGAAAATCATGAGTAGCTAGCTGGTAGCTGCCATTGTGCCATTGCAGGGATATGGATGTCCATGGCATATTGCTGGTATAATTTCTCGCCAAGCCATTTTAGAATTTTCAGGTCATCTCATAAAATGCTTTCAAGTACTCATGTTTTGATTACGTACTTTTACAAACTAAATTTTTTGAGCATTGTATTGAATTAATGAACATCTTCCTTTGTGCTTCAAACTTTCAACAATGCTCAATGCAAGGCCATTTCCACCATGTCGTCCAAGGATTAAGGAGGCCTTGGTATCCCTCTGTAATTTAATTTTTATTCCTTGGTTGAATGTGGACATGTCTTTTTGCCATATCCTCAAGAGTCAAGTCTCAGCACTGTATACAAACACTGCAAAGAGTCTCAAAAAAGCAAAGACTGCCATTGAAGCAACACTTCTCTTTTGTCTTCTCATTAGTCATTTCTAGCGTTCCTGCTTAGGATTGTAAGGGTTCAGATGAGAAGACAACTTAAACATTGATGATTTTGAGCATCACAGTGTGCTCTTTCTTCAAAACAAGATCAAACAATGTAAGAAACGAGCAGAGGAAATCCAGGAGGAGCCCTATAATGTGAACTTCAAATAAAAATTATATAGATGATTTTTCTTTTGTGAGAGTAGATGGAAAGTTAGTATAATAACTTAACCATCCCACTCTACTATTTCATGGTCTGCAGAAAAGCGTCCAATGCAGCTTCTGCTTTTGTCATCTCTGCCTCACAGCTGAAGGCTGTTCACTCTCTATCTCTAGCAATAAAAGACAACTTCTGATTTACATCCCTACTCCAAGCTGTATTTCTCACCAGTGCTTCAGCTTTTTGTTCTTTCCTGATTTTGGTAGTTTTTTCTTCTATGAGTTTGACAAGCTCAAAAAAACAAATAACACACTGAATTTAAACTAGACAATATAGTTTCCTCAACAGGTTCTGCCGTCCTGGTCATTTTTTAGTGTCATGAGCAAGTAAAAGACCTTTGCTAGCCACTACTCCGTTAAAGTTACAAGTGAGGCCTCGAAAATACTTGAAACAGAGGAAATATTTACTCCTTTGGCTACAAATTATAACCCATTATTGTTTGAGTTGGTGATCTTTAAGTAAAACGAACAAACATTCAATGCTTGTGTACTTGTGAAAGAGAAATAAAGTTATTTATCAAGAAGAAAAAAAAGGATTACTTGCTAAAAAACAATGAAAATTGAAACGATATTCGCCACCTGCAGTGATAGCTCAAGCTTGATTGATGGCTCTCTCCATTTTGAACCCAACACAGAAGAACAAACAAAAATTAGCCCATATTCCCAGCCCAATAGCAGGCAATAATATCAACCGATACTGACAGCACCTCGATACGTCAACAACCACCGAAGGCATTTCATTTCCCACGACACATAGCAAAGACATTTTGCATCCTGACCCATCCACCAACCGAGTCCAGACCCTTCTCTTCACATGAAACGTTAAAGACCCATGGTACAAATCCTATTACGCACCCACCCTTCCTCCACCTCTCTCGGAAACCTGCCATTTCCCCATCCCTTTTGAAATCGTGGAGAATGGAGAGAGAGTTTCATTAGAGTTTTATAGCTTGTTTTTCGTTGGGAAGGAAACAAACAAGAAACGGCAAATCTCTCGTCTTTCTATGCATTTTTACTACACCTATATGTACTCAACAGACTCTTCGTTTCTTATGTCAAGGCCCACAAAACCAAAAACCCTCTTCCTTTCATTACATTTCTCAGTGTTCGTTCTTCTTTGATGGGTGTTTTTAAGTGGGTTTAGTTTTTTGCTCGCTTTTGTTTCTTCAAGCTTTTAAGTGAAAGGGAAAGGAAACACCAAAAAGAAAATAACTCGGAGTGATATGTTTACTGAGTCAACCAGGAAACCAACTCGCCCAGCCAGACCCGATTACCGCCCTCCACACTCGAGACCCCAAAATGCCAATGCCGTCGGTCCTGATACTGACACCGTTGAGTTATCTCGTCCGCGTTTCAACCATTTCAACTCGTCTCAACCCCCCTCGAACCACCCGCGGTCAGGGCCGCGGCCGAGGACCCTGATTCTCCAACCGCCGAAACCCAAACTGGGACGATGAAAAGTTCGATGAGCTAGGGGTCATTGATGACATGTCAGAACAAACGAACGAAACCAACTTCGACGCCTACGAAGATATTCCGGTAAAAGCATGTGGCGAGAACATACCGCCTCCGGTGGAGACATTTGCGGAGATCGATTTAGGAGATGGTTTGAAGCAAAACATAAGGAGGTGCAAGTATCTGAAGCCAACTCCAATCCAAGGCCATGCGATTCCTATAGCGGTCGCGGGTCGGGATTTGATGGCTTGTGCACAAACTGGGTCAGGTAAAACGGCTGCATTCTGTTTTCCTATTATTTGTTGGGTTTTTGAAGGATAGGTCATTGCTATCTAGCCGTGGTGGAACAGCGGTTCCATGTCCTCTTTCTCTTATTTTGGCTCCTACCAGGGAGTTGTCTTGTCAGGTGATCTTTGCTTTGCTTTGCTTTTCTTTTCTTTTTTCTTTAAAACTTGGAGTCAGTGGAATTATATTATTTTATCACGAAGAGTAATTAAATTTATTATTGTTTGCTTTCGTTTGTCATTAGATACACGAGGAGGCAAAGAAGTTTGCTTATAATACCGGGGTTAAAATCGTTGTTGCATATGGAGGGACGCCTATCTCTCAGCAGGTATGCTTTAGCCTAGTCTCATTATGGAATGTTATTATTGAGTGATCTTAATTTCATTATGACCTGAAACTATTTGCATTGGTCCTTTATACAATTGTTTTTTGGCACTCTTTGATGTAGTGTTCAGTTGGTTATATCAGTGAACTTTTCTGCACCTCTCCTGTTTCTATAGATTGTGCAGTTTAATCATTCTGTATGATCTAATGTGCATTGGATGCAATGTTGTTGTTGTTGTTTTTTTTTTTTTTTTTTTTTTCAGTTTCGTTACTTAGGAAAAGGTGTTGACATCTTAGTTGCTACTCCTGGACGGTTGGTGGCTACAATTGAGAGAGGAGTACTTTCTCTTGGAATGATAAAATATCTAGCCTTAGATGACGCAGACCGAATGTTGGATATGGGTTTCGAACCTCAGATTCGTAAGATTGTTGAGAAAATGGACATGCCTCCTCCTGGAGCAAGGCAGACAATGCTGTTCAGTGCTACATTTCCAGATGAGATACAGGTTTCCAGTCTAGACCCTGACGTGCATTATCCTTTGTCAGTGAAGTTCACAATACTTTTAGTAGTGTGATATCAGAATTCAGAATATAAGCAATAGTGAGGTGGGATATTCTCTAGAGGTTGATAAATGCATCGGCTGTCCGTTTTTTCCTAACTCATATATTTTTGTGTTCATGCAACCTGCATCTCAACGTTCTTGTTTGCTTCCTGTAAATTTATTAATATTGCTTGCAGAGACTTGCTTCTGACTTCCTTTCATACTATGTATCTGGCTGTTGGAAGGGTTGGTTCAAGCACTGATTTGATTGTCCAGAGAGTTGAATTAGTTTAGGACATGGACAAAAAAACCACCTTCTGGTTCTTTTTCGTGCTCAAAAAGTCCAATGGAACTCATATTAAGGTAAAATTGATGTTCTTCTCTGCCTTATTTGCAATGTAGAGGTTTTGGCTGTCACAAAAATTGGTGGGAAACTTAAGAGTACATGTTGAGTATGTTATATGACTCCTTTGTATTTAAACGTGCTGATAAATAGATCCTACTTACTGTTTAACAGCATGCTTTAACTCCAGTTTTTGTGGAGACAAAGAGAGGTGCAAATGAGTTGGAACGCTGGTTATCAAGGAATGGTTTTCCAGTAATTGCAATACATGGTGACAGAGTGCAGAAGGTTAGCTTGCAATCACATTTTCTCCCTTGCTTTATTGTGATATTGCCATCTTAATATGCCTTTAGAGTTAATAAAATATGTTACTGCTGTCAAGTTCATGGAGTTAACAGTCATCTTAATTGGAAAAAGTAATGCTTTCTGTGCTAATAGTTTGAATTTAGATGCATAAGAATCAATTTATGGTAGAAGTAATTTTGATCATATTATTGTTTTTGCCTCAAAGTAGAAGAACTGAAGTAATTGTAAATTTTAATGTACTAATTTTGATATATCTTGACTAGTGCCCCCTTAGAAAAGTTTGTTTACCAATCAAATTTGTAGGAAAGAGAGCAAGCTCTGAGATCCTTTAAAAGTGGTGCTACTCCAATTTTATTTGCTATGGATGTTGCTTCACGAGGACTTGATATCCCTAATGTCGAACATGTTATTAATTTTGACTTGCCAAAAAACATAGATGACTATGTGCACAGGATAGGGTGAACAGGCCGTGCTGGGAAATGTGGCCTAGCTACAGCATTCTTCGGCGACAAGAACCTGCCTCTTGCAAAGTCACTGAGTGAATTAATGAAGGAAGCAAACCAGGAAGTGCCATCATGGCTAAGCCAATATGCCGAGAATTCCTCCTTTTGGGGTGGTGATCAGGCTAAACATGCTGTAGGCAATTTTGGTGGTTACGACTTTTGAAATGGCATTGCATCTGGAAATGAGAGCAATTACTATTCAACCTCTTACAATGATAATCCCGCAGCTCCTGTCATTGGTGGTTATTATGCTACTGCTGCTGCTATTGCTAATACTCAAAACTTTTCTTGGCCGTGCTGACTTCTATGCTGATCCTTACGCCACATCTGCTAATGCTGACTATTTGGTTGCAAGTAATGCGAATCTCTACGCTGCTGGGCCACATGAATTTGCATATGGTTATGGGTCAGTTGTTGCCAATGGCTGGGACTAGATTTGCATCCCCTCCTTGTTGGTGTTTTCGTTTGATAGACATGGTATATGAATAGTTTAGAACACAATAGCTGTTGAATTTTGACCCAAGTATAGGTTGGACATAGGCTTCAGAAACACAGTTTCTCATAGTCTAAATATCTAGTTGATTCCATAAAAAACTCCAATCCTTACTAAATATTTTTTTGTTTTGGTTTTTGTGGATGTTTCATACATGTAGATCCCACTTTTTGATCTGATTAGCAGCTTATTCAGATCTCAGACTGTTATGGTTTTACAGTTTTTGAGTCTTTTGGGTCTTGTTTAATGGAGAAGCTGATTTTGATGGCTGCTATGTGCTATTGTTGGTCGTATCTTTTGTACTGAGGATTTTTTTTTTTTTTTTTGGAGATCTGTGAAGCCCTATGTAAGTTTGTCTTTTGTATTACAATCTAAAAGTTCATTTGTATTGGTTAGATCATGGAACTGTGTTTGCTGTATAATTTAATTGATAAGCCAACGGTTGTGAAATGTAGTACAATGCTTTTGCCTTAGCGGGGGTATGGATTCTACCGACCTCCAGTGAGGTGCGGTTGAGTTTTCATCGACACTCGATGAATTCGAACGCAAATTTTAATAAAGTTCATGAAGTATAAATTTTTTATTTAATTTTTTATCGATCATAATTATAATAAATTTTTATTATTTTTAATCTCATTAAAGTTAATTTCATCGTATATCTAAATAAATTTCAAACCTCTTACCGTAGAATTAGCATCCAACTTCAAACTATCCGCGATCAGTCCTGTCAACAACTGTCGTTTTCTTTTATAAATTCTCAACAAGAGCTGGTCAAGTATCAAAATAAGTAAATTTAATGATTTATATATTTATATTTTATATTCATAAATTTAATAATTTGTACATTCAAACATCAAATTTTTAAATTTAAATATAATTATTATTAAAATTTTAAATTATATTATTTTTATATTTTATATTTATATTATATTTATATTTTATCATCGTATCATATTTTATATTATTAAATTTAAAAATAAATTAACGTTTTTGGGTTTGTGAGCTCTGGACTCCTAGCATTGCATTGTTTCAGCTTGAGGATTTAAAAAAATATATGTTTTTTTCATTTTGAAAAACATATATGTTTAATTATCTTACATTTTTTTATTTTATATTTTAAGATAACTATAAAATAGCTTTATTTATTAATATTTTTCTGAACAATCAATCAATATTTTTGTCTTTCATATTTTATGATAGTTAAGGTCAGTTACCAAAAAAATGAGAAACCCTAGCCAGTTAGTAGCCACCAGCACAAATTCAACCAAATTAAAACACGCTTAAAAGACTTGCAATTAATTTCTTTCACTTTCTGCTGTGCTGTGTTTCTCTTCGCTACTCCTCATCCAATTCGCAGAGACACTAACAGAGGTTTTGGGGTTTAGGGTTAAGGTTTCAAAATGGAAGAAATTACCCAAGGAGTTAACAACATCAACTTGGGCGCCGATTCCCAAAAGAAGAACCGGATTCAAGTCTCCAATACCAAAAAGCCCTTGTTTTTTTACGTTAATCTCGCCAAGGTTTCTCCTTTTTTGCCCTCGTCTCTTCTCCAAGTCTTTCTTCTTTTTTTTTTTTTTCCCTTTTTGAATTTCGCACTCTTTTCTGTGAAAATAAGTTGCTGAATTTGAATAACACCGGTAAAATTTTGGTGGGTTTTAGGTTTTTTCCTATCTGGGGATTTACTTTTAACTATTAGGGGATCTAGCGTTTTAGCTGCTTGCTGAAACTAAGTGGAGTAATTTCTTTGTTAATGTATTACATTGATAGGATAACCCTTTTTCTCATTTTATTTACAGAGGTATATGCAACAGTACAATGAGGTGGAGCTGTCTGCCCTTGGCATGGGTACAATTTACCTCTTCGTTCCTCTATTTTTAATAGTTCAATTTCATTCTTACCTTTTTTTCAGATCTGAATATTAATGAATTATTACTCTAATATGAGTTTATTTTAATTTCCTCTTATGCTTGCAACTTTTCTTTTAATGTATCAGTAGGTTATACTCTAGAGGAATAGCTGGGGATTTAAGTAATGATATTTCCTTAAAACAGTTGTTTGTCTTTAGATTATTTAACTGTATAGCATTGGAGCTGTATGTGTGGTTCAGTTTCAGTATTTTAACTATAAATTATAATTATAATTGCCCTGAAGGCAATGGTGCCACATATCTCCAATATTCTGGTCACTGTTCTTCTTACTTTGACTCAGGACTTAATGATAGGTTGTTTATTTTACACCTCTTTATGTCGGTAGATTGAGCAGTGAAGTTGAGGTAAAGCTTTTCTCAAGTGCAAGGTGGTTGTGACTTTATTTTTCTGGTGCTGCTGCTTGCATTTAATTTTCCTGGAGCTAATTATTCATCGGTGAACCTATAATCAATTGTGTATGCTATTTTGAGTATTGAGGTAAATCGTTCTTTTAATTGATCATGTCATACATGCAGCTATTGCTACAGTTGTCACAATTGCAGAAATTCTGAAAAACAATGGTTTGGCTGTTGAGAAGAGTAAGATATCTTCCAATTCTTTCTTTTTATATTTAACAAATTTGTTAATGCAACCATTGAGACCTAATAATCTTGGGAATCAACCTGCACCTCTACAGAGATCACAACCTCAACAGTTGACATGAAGGAGGACTCTAGAGGGCGTCCTGTCCAAAAAGCAAAGGTAAATCAACTTAATAGCCCTTCATGCTTCCTTCTGCATAAGCCATGGGTTATGCAAAAACATATTTGCAAGCTGAGGAACATTTGCTCTCTCCATATAAGTGATCTAGGGAAATTCAGTATTAAATTTCCATATATTTGTCATTCTCTGTTATTGTTGCTTACCATAATGTTAGTCATTGTAATGCTGAGTTTTGTTCTTCTTCTTAGCTTGATTATTGATAGACATGCTTTTATGTTCTTTCACAGATTGAGATATTGCTGGGGAAGACAGAAAACTTTGATGAATTAATGGCTGCTTCTGCTGAAGAAAGAGATGCTGTGGATGGAGAAGAGCAGAGTTGAAACTGGAAAGAAGCTTGTTTGTTAGTACCTGGTGGTCAGTTTTTAATGCCCTAGTATTGGTTAAGGCACTTAGGCTTTTTACACATTGTAGGTGTTTTGAGTTATCTTGATCGTCCTAGGCTGGTAATTAAATAGAAAATTGTTTTCTTTTCAATATTCAATTTTGCTAACTGATTTTTTTGGCTTATATTTTCTCAAATTTGCTGATGCAATGTTGGTTTCATTGTGAGCTATGTCTTAGTAAAGACAATTATGATTTAACCGTCTTTACATCTTGTAGTTATTGACTTAATGATTATTGCAATTAAGATGTTTGCAGAATGTTTCTTGATTAGGAGGATGTTAAAAAACTGAACCTGCATTTTGCATTGGTATTTTCCTAGCATACACTGGAAGTTTTAAAATGTTTGTAATACTCAACTTATTAGGATGCATCGAGATAAAAGATTTTTTCTTTTACAAATTTGTTTTTAGTATAATCTTCTTTTTTTCCTTTCACTCAAGAAGAGTTCTGGAACTTGAGAAAATCAGGGCGAAATTGCTTTACTTTTCATCAAATTTTCCATTTCCAAACAAATCATTAACTGAAAAAGAGAACCTTAGTTTAGAATATCTCAGCCATGCAGCTGGGCTCTTTTACAAATATAAGATACAGCCATACAACCAAATCGAAGCTCCTTTTCGGATCAAAATCATCTCCATTATAAAAATGGTTTCAATCAACCATGGCAGCCCCATCAAGTTTGAAAGAAATGAAAGTAGCTTTGTTTCACAAACTATAAAAAGGTGTAAATAAGGTCTCTCCCTAACAAAATCGTGATAGGCAACTAATGATAAATAAAGAAGAAACAATTCTTCCAAAGTCAATTAAAGAACCATCTTATATAGAGATGATTCCCCAAAAATGTGAAAATCCGTGACAGAAAACAATGCAAAATTTACTCTGTGTTCAACCCAATGATCGTAACAGTATGTGTTCTTTGTTTGATGCCAGAATGTCTACTTTCAAGTATATCATGGTCATAGAGCTTCTTTCCCTGCTAGTATCCTCTTGCACGCCTCGTAGCACATGAATGAAATCCCAGCTGCAGGGACCAATTTCATGCAGCTTGGACCCAAGCCTCTATAAAGCCCCCAGATCCCTTCTTTCTCAAGTATGCTTGTCAAAGCATGAAGCATGTTCTGGTATTGTCTTCCATTAATTGCCCCTGCCTGCATCTGCTTCCGAGCCACCTCAAGTGGGAAAGTTGCAGTACTTGAGATTGCACCAGCTGCTGATCCTATTAGAAGAGTCATGATATTCCCAATTTCCTCTTTCTTAAAAGCTTTTTTATAAGCTTTTCTTAATGTATCATAAGCAAAGTAATTAGAGGCAGCATAAGGAACCACTCCTATCAGACTGGGAGTAAGGCCTTTGTATAGTCCTGCTGGTCCTTCTGCCTGCACAATTTTTACGATGGCTTCCAAAAGATTCTTGTAATCTTCCTGCAATCAGATCAAAGCTACAAGGGGTAAAGATACTTTAAATGAAGAATTAGACATGTTAATTAGTTAAAGAATTAGACATCCCAAAGTTCATGTTCACCTTGACAGTTAAACGAGTTTTGAGCAACTCCAGAGGGTATGTGCACAAGGTAGAGCTAACCCCACCAACAGCACCAGCAATAAATGAGGCTGGAAGAGGGAGTTTGGGATGTTCCCCAAGTTCAGGTGTCAACTGTTTCTTAACAGTCTCATATGCAAATAACTGCACAATTGATCGGCAACAAGATAAGGAGTTCAGTGTTCATAAAATATACAATTTATAGCATGATTTTTGAATAAAATCTAAAATCAGTTGAGTGCGAGATAGTTTTTTGAAAAACACCTAGAGTATTTAGACCTGTCCATTAGATATGCACAGACACAGGCAACAGCACAATGGAACCAACAAGTGACAACAAAACGGAAGAAGGCTGCCAGAATATGTCAGGACAAACCATCTGCTCATTAGATGAGTTCTGAAAGTGGAAACACAGGCAAATGAAAGGGAGGGGGAGAAGAAAACCAGACCTTAATCTTGACCATAGAAGACTTTTAAGGGGAGCCTTATTGAAGCAGATTCGGCAACCAATAAAGGCACGAAGACAAAGAGGAAAAGAAAATGTTCTGAAAGACAAAGACATTGATCTTTCTTAGGTTTCATTTACTTTTGTGATTTTAGGGTCTTTTCTTCATCTCTTTGTTTGTTACTTTTGTATGCTACCCACCTAAATTAGCAGGCAATCCCACAATCAAGTATCAAAACAACCTTGATTTGCATGGCATTTAGGACTCCAGCAGAGAACAGTATGAGAGACATAGTTGCTCTGCTCCTCTTTCGCAATCAAAGAGACAGCCATAATCTTTGAACCGTGAAAATCATTCCTGTCCAGCATCTAGTCTAGTTAATAATCTCGAGATTCATGGACTTACAAACTGGTCTCGAGACACAAAAACAGAACAAAGAAAATCAAACCAAAGATCCTAGCATGAAAATCAATCCTTCAAAGTTCAAAGTACACACAAAAAAACAAGACCAGTAAATAAAGAAGCATATGAGAAAGAGAACCAAACCAACAACAGTGCAAACAATTCACCATGCAAGCAATTACTAAAATCTAAAAACATCATGAACAATAACAAATGAAGTCCTTAACCACACACCTCAATAGCCTTGCTTGGCGCAATCCGAATGACATTCACCAAATTGCCCCTAAGCAAGCCTTTCCATCCCTCACTTATCATGATGTTATCAAACACTTCACTCATAGAATTCCCATAAGTCCCTACCATCAAATGCGTTTTTATGGTCTCCAATGGAGCCACAGCGGTTCTAGATACCGCACCTGCAATTGCCCCACTCATCAACCTCCTTAACGACTCATTTCCAATTTTAATTCTCAACTTAAAGCCACCCTTCTTCTCCTTCTTGACCAACCTCTCAGCAATCTCAAGTTCATCATCCAACACCAGTTGTGGAACCTTCTCAAGTTGAAACTCAGGTTCAGAGACTGAAACAAATTGAGTGTGTAGGCTAGCACACGGGAACTTTGCAGTATTCTCTAGTGAAGTTGGAGGGGTCGGTGAGATGGCAAATCCAATTCCAGCTTGGTTAAGACTTGCAAAAAAGCCATGTGCTTTCAAACTAACTCTCTTATGAGATAAGAAGCACTCAATCTTGACACCGGAACTACTAAAAACCACATCTTTGTTGCCATGTTGAACAACTTGTAAACTCTGTTCAGCCATTAGCCTATAGCTTCAAAGAAAGCAACCGCCTTTCTCTTCCTAAAAAACTACTGAGATAAAATTGTATTTTGTAAAGAAATGGTTTTCTGCAAATGCGTATTCTTAAAAGAAATGAATAAATGTTAGCAGATGGCTAAAAAACAAAGAATATATTTAGAGGAATACAAGAAAGAACAGCTGTAAGAATAATGGGTATTTGCGATATTCGAGGTTTATAATAGGCATCATTAGCAGACAGCTTTGATGAAGTGGAGAAGAAAGGAGATTCTCTCTTCCTCGAAGGAAGAGATGTGGTTCTACCGATGAATAGTGTAGTCTAGAGTGTCGGCTTCAAAAGGTGTTCCTTTGCTGAAAAGAACGGTCATAATTTTACAAGGAGAGTCGACGGTCAATTCATAAAAATTCTAATATCACATTAAAGGTAAACCAGGACCCAGTCCAAATACATTAGAATTGAAGCAAAAAAGTAAATGAATTCAAGTCTCCTTTTTGTTTTTTTTGGAAAAATGTAACAATTTTGATTGACTTTTAAAGATAAATATTACCAACACTATACAAGTTTTAATCCCGATCGCGCAATCTCGTTTGTCTCGTAGATTGCTATTGTTCCGAAAAAGGTTACGGGTCGAAATTCAAGTTTTAGGCTCGCGTGATTCCGGAGACAAACTTTTCCGTGCTTCGTTTCTTATGAAGTTTGATTTAAAATCAAAGCATGTGACACAAAGACATCACAAAAAAATATTAACTGTGTTTGGAATAAAATTATCGTGTTTGCAACTTTGCACCAATCGTTTACGTCAGGGGCGTCACTCGAAATGTCCGATTCTTTGCCTATATTTTTCGTCTATTCTCAGAACAAGAGATACTGCATTTCTTTCCACAAGATTCAGATAAATTTGACACTTTTCCTGAGAGGCTCGAGGGGACCCCTTAAGCCCCAGTAAGCAGATCTCAAAGAGTTTTGAGCCACATGGGTTAAAAGCAATTGCAGCATCACCATCGATGACTAGTCCTGCTAAGGTAAATTTCGAAGTTTGTTGCAAATTTTTCTTAGCCTTGAGATTGCTAGTAGTCATTCACCATGAGGCTAAGAAGAGAAAGGGAGAGGCCAGCAGAATCAATACTGTAGAATTTAAATCTGTCTTAAGAAATAGAAGATTTGGTACATATAACTCTCTTGTTCCCAGTAAACAAAATTGTGATTATATCTAACCCAAATCTCTACACGCTTACTTAAATGATGAGCAATTAATAATTTCATTTTGCCTTTCCTTTTTTTGAAGATCCCGGTCCTTTCTTAGCGGTCTTCTTATGATGTTGCTTTTTTGGTTTCAACTTGTATGAGGCTGATGAGGACTTCCCTTCTTGATTCTTTCTATTCCTTGCTTTCTTCTCTTTCTTCACATTATACATGGTAACAGCCTGATTTAAGAAAGAAACAACATAAAGCTCAGATGATCAGCAAATTTCCATTTGCAAGATCAAATTTACCACCAGATGAACTCAACTACAAGCCCCAAATCTACCTTGTCAACATTGAGTATCTCATGCGAATGCTTAGAGATTAGCTTATTGAGAACATTCTCAGTTTGCTCCCTCTCCTGCGAGCCTATCCCTGATCCTTCAACAACTGGTAAGAACTGAAAAACAGTAGAAGATGAAATATTGGAACATGGCATTATAACCTATAAGAAATATTTACTACAATGAAGCAAAGGCCAAGAATGCAACCTTGCGATGCTTTCCTTGCTTTTTAGCAGACTTTTCCCCTGCCAACTTCCTATCAAATTTCCCCCCACTGGCTGTAGAAGTAGCAGCCATCCCAGCTACATTCCCCAATTCATCTTTCGTAAATTTCTTAGGTGGAGCCTGGGTTCCTGTTATGGGCAGAGCTGTTGCAGCAAGCTGAACATGGCTGCAGCAAACCATTTTAAAGTTAAAATTAACTTAACAAAAAATAACAACTAGCCAAACTCTAAAACCAGCAATACATATAAAGTGCATGGACTCTGGCAACAATCAGAAGTGCATCCTCTGGGAAGTAATAAGAACTGGACAAGAAGAGATAAAACTCAACCAAAGATCTAGTTAATTTAATACAAAGCTAAAATAATGTGTCAGAATGTTCTCATCAAGAACTACAGTAGTTTGGACAGAGAAACTATGCCTATAGAAAAGAAATCAAAGTAGACATCAAGCACCAACGTCTAAAAGAAATTCCTATAAGCATGGCCTGCAATCAGAGGCTAACTCTTAAACTACTAAATGACATAAATGTTATGACATAAGGGAATTCTATCAAAGAATAGGAAATACACGTTAGAGCAGGATTAATAATGTTACATGAAGAATAAGGCAAATAAGAGACTTATTTATTCCAATACTGTTTCAAATGTGATTAAGATATTAAAAGAAAAAAAGGAAATATCTCTACTTCTTGAACTTAGCAATGGCAATTTCTACATATATAAAACTAGTCAAGAATGGATGGCCCCAAACCTTGGCAAAGCACCAACTTTTGCAGCTTGTTTCAAGTTCTGCAGGCGATTCTTCTCTTGCTTCTCAACTCGTTTCTTCTTATCATCTTGTCTTTTAGCAAAAGGATCCTCTCCTGGCTCTGCAAAAAGCAACAATCATGATCAACAAAACCCAATTCGTCCACTATGTCCTTTTGATACTTGTAAACTTATAAAGTAAATGCCTATGTATCACCTGATATATAATATATTTATCACCTACAGGGGCATTTACATTGTACTTTCAAAGAATAACAGTAGTAGGCTAAAAAGTCAAGCATAGATAACATTAGTGGCTCTTCTCTAAGGAAACAATCCATTTGATACTCACCATCAGTCATCTTGGCCTCAATGATGGGTATGTCTTTATCATCATCGACACGATCATAACCGAAGTGACGTTTCCATGTGCCAGTCTGTTCATCCCATACAACTTTGTCCTTTTTACGTTTCTTTATACCTGCAAGATATTTCAAAAGAGAACAAGTACGAATCTTCAGAGAATGGAAAATGAGATTTACCTCAAAATTCTAAAATAGCCATGTACAACTTCAGATGATAGGAGAACAAATTACCTTTCTTTTTAGCAAACTCCTCCCATTTTGTAGGAGGTTTAGGCTTTGGAAGCTGAAAAAACAACCACAATAAAACATTTCAGGTTTTACAAACTAGATTTTGTTCGCAAAAGAATAAGTAACAAAGTTCAATTCAGATTCATTTGCTAGGAGATACTTATTCTTTACTTAAACTATTATAGAAATCCAACTCTAAAAAGAATAGGACAAAAATCCAACTCTAAAAAGAATTAAAGTAAAGGGCTAGGCTTACATGCTTCTCCCTTGGAAGTTTTGTTGTTGGGGGAGGCAGCTTAACAAGCGGCCCATCTACATCTTCAGTTGAAGGTAAGCTAAAAAGACGATCTGCAACTGCTTGAACTAACTTGGTACCCTGCTGTAAACATTCCTTAACTAGCTCATCCCTAAACATATTGGGCAGCAGACAAAAGATCAAGAAAGTTACAAAAATGCACATAAAGAACAACTTATTTACAAACCAAAAAAGCAAATATACAAAGGGCATTCTATGCTTTGATAAAGACTAGCTTAACCAACATTGAAGGAAACCGAGAATCCAAAGTATGAAAATTTAATTGAATTTATGGCTACAACTCTCCTTAGCGCCAAAATTTTATCATCTTCTAATGAAAAATCACCATTAAGAGAAAAAAAAAAAGAAAGTTCCAGAAATCAAAAGAGCAAGAAAAGAGAAAATTTTTCTTTGAGATAAATTAGAACTGAAACTATAACTATAAAGGAAAAAAAAGGATACACCTGGAAGTGGGGAGGGACGGAAAGTTGTGAAAAGGGTTAAAAGCCAACAGATTTCCCAGGTCTACTTCAAAAGGATTCTGGGTTTCCATGGCCATGTCCATCTCCATTTTGCCTTGCTTGCAGCCGTGCCGTGCTAACTGCTAAGCTTTGCTTTGGTTTGGCGTTTCAAAACCTAGTGCCAATAGGGCAAAAACCATTTGAGAAAGTCGGCTTTTTTTTTTCATTAGTTTATTTTCTAAATAAAATAATAAACCTCTATGATCGGCCCAACTACTATCAAAGTATTTGGGCCTTATTAGCTCAAGCAAAGCCCAACTCTTCTTTGAGTTTTTTTTTTTTTTCATTGAGCACTGAATTTTTTACTTTGTAAAAATCAATCTTGTTTATTAAAAAAATAGTTTTTTTTATTAAGTCCCAAGTCTATCATAAAGTTATAGAGAAATTCTACAGTAATTTTAATAATTCACAAATTTTTTCTTGTACTTGTTAAAATTCATTTGTGTGAATAATGGTTTTTTAAGTTATTTTTTATATAAAAATCATAATTTAAGAAATTTAAATTTTGCTGCTTTTTGGAAGTAATTGAAATAAAAATTTAACCTAATTTGCACAAATCATTTTAGGAAAGTTAACCTACCCAACATGTAAAAAGTCTAAACTAAAACCAAAGAAAATTTTTGTCTAAAACATGGTAGCATGTTTCTTTCCAAAAGTAGAAATTTAATTAAATCCTTTTAAATTTTTGTAAAGGAAAATTTTTTTAGTATAATAATTAATAAATTAAATTAAAATGATCTATAAATAAAAAAATAAACACAAGATTGGGTTCTCTTTGGACTTCTTTTCCCTCATTTACCCTTAATATCTTCCCAAATTACCAACCAAAATCCTGAATAAAATAGCAATTTATTTGATAAGGCGGTTTCACTGAACTATTTCTCTCTCTCTCTCTCTCCTTTTCTTCTTTCCCTTTTCCACAAATCATGAAACCCTAATTTCCCTCAAACCGGCATCTCAATTTCACTATCAATAGCATATGAACCCTTATTAGCTAATATCCTTTTCCCTTTTCACCCCTAGCTCTTCTAGGGCAAGATTTTTTCCCCAAATTTCCCCTTCAATTCAATCGTTGCCTCTTGTATTTTTTTTTTTTTTTAAATTCAAACATGGATGGCAACAAAGATGATGCCTTTAAATGCTTGAAAATCGGGAAAGAAGCGTTGGACGCTGGAGATCGAGCCCGTGCGCTCAAATTCCTCACCAAAGCGCGTCGCCTCGACCCAACACTTCCCATTGACAATCTCCTGTCAGCAGCAGCCGAAAGGGAATCCGACGATCGGCCCGCCCCGGAATCTCCCGGATCCACCAAACATCCGTCCGATTCTTCTCAATCTAAGCCGTCTTCCGATCAACCCTCAATTCGCCAAAGGAATCCATCAACTGAGTCAGCTGCCTCTTCTTCTTCTCCATCGGCAGCCGCGGCTGCCTGCACCGAAGAGCAAATCGCAATCGTGAAGCAAATCAAGAAAAAGAAGGATTATTATGAAATTTTGGGGTTAGAAAAAACGTGTTCTGTTGAAGATGTTCGAAAAGCCTATCGAAAACTGTCCTTGAAAGTTCATCCTGATAAGAACAAGGCTCACGGCGCTGAGGAAGCCTTTAAGGCGGTTTCAAAAGCGTTTCAGTGCCTAAGCAATGAAGAAAGTAGGAAAAAATATGATCTTGTTGGATCAGATGAACCTGTTTATGAAAGAAGAGCTTCAGCTTATCGTGGTGGAGGCAATGGATTTAATGGTTTTTATGATGCTGATTTCGATGCAGATGAGATATTTAGGAACTTCTTCTTTGGTGGAATGCCTCCTGCAACTACCCAATTTCGAAGTTTCAATTTTGGGCCTGGAATGGGAGCTAGAATGGGGGATCATGGCTCTACTGGATTCAATATTCGGATGCTGATTCAGTTGTTACCGGTTCTGTTAATTCTCTTGTTGAACTTTTTACCGTCTTCTGAGCCTGTTTTTTCACTGTCCAGGTCATATCCTTATGAGTACAAGTTCACTACACAGAAGGGTGTGAACTATTATGTGAGGTCAATGAAATTTGAGCAGGATTATCCAGTTAATAGTCCTGAGCGTATAAGGATCGAGGACCGTGTTGAGAGAGATTATTATTCGGTTTTGGCACAGAATTGTAGGTTTGAGCTGCAGCGGCAGCAGTGGGGATTTATTCGTGAGACTCCACATTGTGATTTGTTGCAGAAGTTTCAGTCGGCAGCTTAATGGCTTCATTGAGGTCTTTTCCATGTTCCTGTATTTTTTTTTTCTTTTAAGCTATTAGCAGTCATTTAGTTTTAAGGTTTAGAAGGATAAATGGCTGTTTGTTGGTTTGGATATTAGTTTAAGTCCAATAATTGTGACCATAAGCACGAGTCATCCATGGGATATTAATTTAACTAAAGAAAAATACATGCGATAATGACCTGTCTACAATCGCAGATATTCAAAGTTTTGGTTCAGAGTATGCAGTTTGATAGCTTGTTATGCATATTGACATTGATTTCCCAAAGTAACCTTATCTATGCCTGAATGATATGTTTGTGCCTCGAGTATAACAAGATTATGTGTTGTTAACTTTGATGATGATTAAACTAAATGTATTTCAGTTAGAGTTGAAACATGTTTCTTTTTTGTTCCTTAAATATGCACTAATTCTTTCGAACTTCATTCTTTTGCCCATTGAAAATAGTTCTTAAAGCATTTTATTGCAGCAATAGATGCTACTACATCTTTGTTGTTAGAATATGTTTGTTGTTACTAGGGATGAGGTCTTGGGACTTTTCCAGCCATTCGAAATAATGCCTCATCTTTTTGTTTTGTCACAAAGCTGGCCTTTTGTCTAACCTAGTTAAAAAAGGGGGAAAGGAAAGAAAAAATAGAGAAAAGTAGAAAAAGAATACACATAAAATAAACTATTACACCAAGACTTGAGCCATCAAACTGACTTATTTGACCTCAGACGTCAAACATCCTAGGACTTGCATTAAGAAGCTATGGAACATATCCACAACTAATACTTACCTTCAATCAAACTTCTCCTATCGTGTCCCTATTCAAGCCTACAAACTGCTTTATTTTTCCTTAAAAAAACTCTTGATTGATATTGTTCCATTCCAAGTTTCCACTTATTTCCTTGCTCTGGTTTTAACAAATTAAGGAAAGCTATGTTACTCTGTAATTTTTCTTAGTACCTGGCGTTCTTATACTCATTTGCACTAAGAGGCAGCTTCCTCGTATGAGTGTTGAAACTTTTGTGTTAACAATACTTGTATACAATCCTACAATTTGACTTGTCACAATTAAATCAATTCGTCTCTTATTGCATGATTATCTGTGTGACTCAAACGTGACAGAAAGTTTGCCTCTTTCAAACTGTGCCTTTGGAAAGACCAAGAACTGTGTTTTAATTAAAGTGCATAAATAGTTATATTTTCTACAATGCTGGAGCTTAGCTGTAGTGGCTGCCTGTTCTTATGTTATGCTCCTGGAGCAATTTGAGTAATGACAACTTGAATCCATCGTCTGCTTTTGGCATATCTAATCTCTTTGATTACTATTGTTTGAGTTTAGAATTAGGATGTTGTTTGACCATGCAACATTGGTATCTTTCCATTTGTAGCATGCTGATTTTCTTATTTCATTGGTCCCTCTAAATAAAAATATTTACCGTCTTAGCCCAATTTTGAGCTTCATTAATTACCTGTGGGTTTATATGTGGTGTCAGGAGCTTAGCTCTTTCTTATGAGATTTATCCACCTAGTGTCAATTTTTGGAGTAGGTGAGGTGGAATTTTTCATTACGGTAATCCTAATGAATGAATTGGATATCATCTACAAGAAGCCAGATATATATTATATATTTATATACATATTTTTATATAATATATATGAAAAAAACATATTTATCCTTTGATCTAAAGTGTAGTTTAGTTCATAATGGGGAAATTCCTATGGGTTGCATCTGTTGTGAATACTTCTGTCACTTTAGCCGGTATCATCGGGAGTTCAATACCTGTTGTCATTGCTTGCATTGATTTACATGTTTGATGCTGATGAAGATGTTGAGAAGGATAACTTTTCCTTCATCTTATTAGGCTAACAATGTGCATTTCTGATGCAGGTAGCAGACCGAATGAAAAAGGCCACACTTTTCGCGTTGGCGCACTCTGCTTTCTGTGCTATGCAAACACATATCAACCGCAATCTGTATTAGACAATACTCATGACATGGCAAAATCTTCTGTAATTTCAAAGTTAAGGTTTTTCAGATCCTGTATAGTCAGAGAACATTAGACCGCATACTAAATTTTTCGTGGTATTGACGTATTGTTTGATGTAAGATGCTATATATTGAGAGTGATGTATGTCCAGAACATTGTCTGGACTGATATTTGATATGCACCACCCATTTTGATGTTAATGAAGTTATTTCTCCCTTTCCAAAAAATTAAAAAAGTTAAATTAACTGACATAGCAGAAGACTATCATTATGCCATGAATCCTTTAATTTTAATTTTATGTGGATATAACACAGCAGCCCAGTCGAATGTTTGACATCGGAACAGATTGATAAAAGCAGAGGGGATACTCTCAACCCCATCTGAGATTTCTTCCAATGGCTGGATTTAACCAGTGAGAACGTGATCACAAGTTGTTGAAAGGAAACTTTCAAAATGTTGGTAGCGAGGTTGACAAAAGCGGTAAGAGGGAAATGATAGGTGATTTATAGGTTCGAAAAATTTGCAGTTGAAAGTCCAATGAATTCATAAATTCTAATGGATTTGTAAATTTTAATTGAGTTGACATACTCTAATCTAAAAAATGAGGTAATCTCCTTGCCTCTAAACTTTTTTCGACAAAAAAAAATTTGCAAAAATGTTCAAGCAATCATGTGGGAATTTGATTCTCTTGTATATTAAGTCAATCATACTCACTGCATCCCGTTTTTCGGCATCAGCATACTTTGACATTACCCCAAACACAGCTATCCTTCCATTGATGTTCATGTTATCCATAGTTGCTCCTTGCATTTCTCCCTCCACGTTGTCGAATATACATGTCAAGGGCCTGCAGAATTCAACGCAACTGCCCTTAATTTGTTATCGATCTATAAGTTGCTGACTTAACATTCCAAATGGACATATTTATTACTCTATATACTATGAATTATATATAGGTAATTGAAAAAATGTTCAGGTCGTAACCTTTTGAGAGCTGACTTTAAATCAGTTTCTTCCAGGCATTATCAAAGCTAAGCTTTTCTTTAAGCAAAGCTACCTGCAACAAAGTTTGGAATAAACTTTTTAAATTATAGCTTTCAATTAAGATTCTTCAAACCAATTAAACCTTGAATAATGAGTATGAAATTAGTTAAACTAACCTTTTCTTTGCTTCTAGCGCAGCCAACCACGTACGCTTCTGCAAATTGTCCAACCAAATTTCCAACTGATCCAGAACCAGCAGAAACAAACACCTTCTCTCCCTTCTTGGGCTCACATACCGCGAAGAATCCGGCATAGGCTGTCAGGCCACTGAACCCTGAAAGAAGCATGATAATCTCTTATAGACTAAGTTTGCTTTAGATAATTATTGGGAATCTAAGTTTTTACAAAAAAAAAAAAAAAATTGATAGGATCTATTAGTAGGCATTAAAATTTTTTAAATTAAAAAGAGATTCAATCTTTATATAAAAATTTAATTCTCAGTTAAAAATCACAAACAATCAAAGAATTAAGAAAAAATAATACAATCAATAATTATCAAGCAATACAAAACTTTGAGCTTTAAGGAAAAAGTTCTCGGTAAGAAGAAGAAGAATCACTAGGCAAAAAAGGAGAAAGGCATGTACGTGATATCAAGGCAAATAGAATCAAGCAAAATTTTTCTTGGCATTAGGCTTTTTTTTAGGTTGGTCGAGGAGAATTGATTAGATATATTTTTTTTTGTGGTGTTATATTTATTTGTTATTTAATGTGTCTTGAGGTAATATTTGTGTTAATAATTTTTTTTTACAAAATTATTTTGTTTTGCTAGTTTGTTTCTTTACATTTATTTGCCTATTTTTATATTTATTTATTCATTATTTATTTAATTGATGTAAATAAAAATTAAATTGAAATTTTTTAAAAATATAAATATATTATTTTTTAATTAAAAACTTGTAAATATGTTTGTATCATTATTTGTAATTAATATTTGTAAAAAAATAAAAAGTATGTAAATAATTTTTTTTTCATAAGATATTTAATAAATATGATAATGGATCACTTTAAGTGAACAATGAATTTATTTTGAATAATATTGAAGTGAGATTTATTTTTTTGTAAAACCTTAAAAATTTTTTTAATATTTAAGTATCAAAATTAATAAAAAAATTTATATTTAATTAAGATTTAAATAAAATAATATATGATTAATTTGATATCAATTTTAAATATCACATGACATTAAAATCTTTCTTACACACGTTATGAAATTTAGTTATATTTAAAAATAATTGAAGAGAATTGATTCATAACAGTAAAAAATGTGCCCATTCAATTTTATAAAGATCAAAATCAACAAAAGATTGTTATAAGGCTAGTTAGTAATAAGATTAATACACTAAATACGCATGTTATAAAAGAAGCAAACAGAGACATAAGTAGCAATAAAAGATTGCTTACAGGCCAGTGCAGAACCCATATCTAAGATGATGCAACTAGAAATGCAACCTTGCTCAAAAATCAGAATGTAGTTTGGATATTTGTACATATTTCGAAAGGGCCTAGCCTCCAGACCATCATCATCGACAGATAGACACAAACAACCGATTGTTGAAGAACCATTGTGGTCCTTGTTTTGATAGTATGTTCATCAACAGACAAAACAGGCAAACTTGATTAAGAAAGTTAAGTTCATCTGAATACCATTCAAGACCAGCAAACAGCTCAAGTTCTTCATCACTCAGAAGGTCTAAGTAGGAAAAGTAGAGTACCTACCAAGTAGGTATGCGATAATCGGGATCAGGAATCACAGTTTCTTTCTTCTGGACCTTCCTTCCAAGCTGCCAAGCATCAAAGTAGCCATCTCAAACCATGAGGTACAATTAATAAAACTGGACCCATAACCCAAAATTAGTTCAATCACATTTCATAGTTCCCGTCACCAACCTGGGCATAAATTAAATTCTTTCACCTTCATCTACCAATTACTTTGATTCTGATTGGTACTTCATCTACCAATTACTCTTATGAATATGAGTAAGATTAACATCCCTGAAAACGGAGCAGCAGTCAACAGGACACGACTAGCCTTTTTCTTTTCATTGTTTTTGCCCAAAACAATTTTTTTTTCTTATTTTTAGGCATGAAAAAAAATTAAAACTTCTGGTTCGTGGTTTTCGTAGAATAAATTGACCTCATTGCCCCTTGTTTCCGGTAGCAATAGAATCATTAACCGCCATGATAAGGACATTTAGGTAATTCATGTAAACTGTATGTCTTTGCCTACGTTTTGCCTTATCTAGTAGAACTACAGAAAGACCCACACTTTCTCTTTGTTTCTTCTCCGAAAGTTCAAAGCTTTAAAGGACAAAGCACTTCAAAAAAGTGATAGGCACCGTATCGAAAACCCTCTTAAGAATAAATAGGAATGGCAAACTCTCTGTGTTTCACTTCTGTTTGTTCCTTCAACACTCCCAACAAACCAGGTACTCTAAAGGTGGATGTTTTAGTGATATTGATTTAATCTAAAGTTACCAAGTTTTGACTTTATCGTATTCCACATTGGTTTTAGGGATAATCATTGATAATTCTGTTCCAAGGAAGGTTCTTCGGGTAAATGAAATGTTTAAGAGCTCCAGGAGTGCCAGAATTCAATCTTTAGAGGCTAAGGTGAGAGTTTTTTTTAACTATCCCATTTAATAATTAGCCTTAGTTTTGCATTTTGTTAGTAAAGCTGGGGAAATGGAAATGTTGTAGTTGCACAATTCTTGATAATGGGCTCATACCCATTTTTAAAATTTTGCAAGGTGGGAACTGTGAAGGGATGATTTAGATGCTAACGGTTTGTAACTTGGATTTTTTTATTGTATTCGATATATTTGTTTTGTCGGGGAACATCTAGTAAAAGGAAGGAAATGGTGGTCAAGACTCAAGATATGAATTAGAATGATATTTTTTTGTTAACTAGGTCATAGTGATTTCTGGAAATGGCTAAGGAAGTTGCCCATTTTTGCGAAGGATGATAAAATAGAGAACTGGGAAAAAGAATGCGACATTCAACTTTATAGTTCTTAGACCAGACCTAGATTGTTAATGTTTCAGTATTCAGCTATGAGGGTAAGTTGGTTATGAATAAGTAATTAATTCATGGGATGGAGAGAGTATGCGGGTTACGAATTCATACACTAGAACCAGTGATTCTGATTGTATGGATAGGCATTATCATGGTTAAAGGCTGAATAATTCAGGCTGAGGCCTATATGAAAGGCTTGCTGTGGCTGATGGCATGGAATATAGACTTAACACAAATAAGGCGCAGATCTTTGTATGGAACTGGAAATGAAAAGGGCGGAACGTGAAGGGGGAAGTTCGGTTTTGTTAAAAACTCTGTTCTTAATTTCTTCTTATCCTTACTGTATTTTGCGGTTTGCGAGTTACCTTAGCTTTTGGTTTAACAGGCTGCAGATGAAAGTCAAAGTACTAAACCAAATAGCATTCTCTGCGCTGATTGTGATGGAAATGGTAAGCAAAATTGTGGCTAATTACTTTATCTTTGGTCTGGTCTTTTTGTCGAGGATTAGGTTTCTTGTTTCGTTTAACTATATATTTTGTTGATTATGATAATGTTTTTATGCAGTCTAAGGCCTGAAATGAAGCAGTCTTTTTCTATTGATATATACTGATATCAATTGAACTGTTGAATTTAAGACTTTGTGCTGTTAATATTATATGGGGTATCTTAAATATCAATCTAGAAGGACGCTTTGAACTGCCATTTATATGAGTTTTTAGTAATGGCATTCTGTTCTATATATATTCCTGCTGAATGACGATGTATGATTACTATATGTAAAAAGTAAGCCAATGTTAGCATCCAGCACTTTTTGTCTATACATATCCAGTGATGCCCACAATCATTCAATGTTATATAAGGATCACTAGATTGGTTAAACATAGAAATACTTGGATGCTGTGTGCTTCATAGTGATTCAATACAAAGGGCAGCAGAGCGGTATGGTTTCCTTTTTCTGGAAGTGAATGAGAACTAAAATGAAAAATGACAATCCAAGAGAAGTGAACAAAAATTCCTTCTTCTCAAGTGCGGAAGAAGGCTTCTTAGCCAAAGAGGGACATTCCTATTTGCTCTCTTAGCTTGACCACTCTTGGGAAAAAAAAAAAAAAACTCTTCCTATTTGTTAATTCGTAATTCTTCCATATCATGAGCCTATGCTTGTTAGGTGTGAATGCTTTGTGTTCCCTATCTTCTTTGAACTATTTGACCTTTCTATGAAGAATCACTTAAGAGTTCTTTGTTTGAGTTCTCTTATTCTAATACAACCAACATACAATTATAACTATTTTCTATACCCAACTACCAGGTGCCAAACAGTGTTCCCAATGCAAAGGTACTGGAGTTAATTCTGTTGATCACTTTGACGGACAATTTAAAGCTGGTGGGCTATGTTGGCTTTGCAGGTGCCCCATCTCCTCTTCTGACTCCTCCTTCCTCCCCCCTTACCCTCCCCAGTTGTGGTAGCTTGCATTAACATCATTTCTGTCATCACCAGTTACTGAACACATTCAAAGTTAATTATTCATTCTTGCTTCTTTATTCTGTTGTCTGCAGAAGGGGATAAATCAAGAATTGAAAGTTCGATTTTTTTCTTTTTTTATTTCGAATCATTATTGAGAACAAGATGGAATACTGATGTTGCAATTTTTGTTGCAAAAGAAAATAAAATATTATCTATGAGCAGGTCAAATGGCCACAATTCATAGGATTCTTCTGTGAGTTCTATGTTTAGGACAGACCGGATTCTATAAATGTCTAAGAGAATTGACATCACTTTTTCTATTGGCAAACCAAAAGTAATTGATAATTGACACCTAATAGTGGGACTTATCTACCATTTAATCCATCACTTCCAATTGTAGAAATGGAAACATTCTTGGTTCCAAGGCCAGTCCACTGCATGAGTTCATCACATTTCTGGTTTTCTCATTTAGGAGCCCTAAGTTCGATGAGTTAGGAATACTAGATTCAAGGACATATGCATTGGTCATGCACTCATACTCTAATCTTCCTTCAGCCTGTATTTTACTAACATAGCATCACAATTCTTGGAAGTAGTTTTTTCAGTGCATCAATAGCATTCTATTCCACAATTCTTTAGATTAAACATGTAGAATTGTTAGCAATCAGCACTTGATACGATTAATGTATGTTTTGTTGCAGGGGAAAAAGGGAGATTTTATGTGGGAATTGTAATGGAGCTGGCTTCATTGGTGGGTTTATGAGCACATTTGATGACTGATGTAAAAGCTCAAATTTGGTTGTCTTCAAGGATATTTATATTTACTAGTATCATCTTTTGTAATTTTGTTTTGTTTCTTAGATAAACAATACCCTTTGCTTCAGTCATGAGGTCGTTCTTCTTAGAAATGGTTCAACCTGTCGCCATGCCTATACTCCAGTCCAGAGTACCTGCTCTATGCAACTTTTTTTTTTTTTTCGGTTGGAATGTTTTCTGGAACTTGGACAGTAGATTAATGGCATTCCAGTGGGTCAACTGTCAAGCTGGTATCAGATTATTTTAGCCTAATTTCATAATTCTAGATTTATTCAAATTGTGATATGGACAATGAAAGTCATTTTGTTTTTGAACGAAACAATTATAGAAGAAAAAGCCAGGGTTTAACCGAGAGTAACAGACATATTTTGGCTTACGCCTGTACTTACACAAGAGCAGAACAACAATTCAGTTATGCACGCTATAACAATATTAGTCGAAGGATTTCCCCAGAATAATTGAATGATTTCTCGGTTTCTTCCAAACAGTGGTTCTTCTCATCTCTAGTCCATCTCTGAACTTCCAGAGATGAATATAGGTGTTAGTCATACACACAATGGAGTTTACAAGAGCATTCTGCAAGAATACAAAGAAAATTACCTCGGAAACTTTATTCAGCTTATCCCTGACAGTCTGCAAAAGTTGGGAAAGGTCACCATCCCATTTATAAAATTCCAACTCCTTCTTGTCAAGTATCTTCTCAGCTACCTGATATTAAGAGGGGGAGAAAAGGAGATTTGAGTATACCAGCTCATAAATTGAGATGATATTTACCAAAGGACATTTTAAGGGGGGAGAGAGAGAGAGAGAGAGAGAGATGGAGGGGGAGGAAGGACCATATCAATTGTGGGAAGTGCCCGCATGTTACATGTTACAAGATAAGCATGCCGATGGGGTATCCATTATTAGATAGAACTTGTCAGATATATGAGCTGACCCAACTGGAAATGAAAGAGATAGGGAGACGAAGAGAGAGAGAGACAGAAAGCAAAGAACCATATGCTTGCTTCTCCGCAGTGTAGGTCAGGACTGAGTAATATTCTTTTCAACGCACATTCGAGGCAAATATTTTGTTTACCTTCTTCCCAATCATCCGACCACCAGCAGAGTGGGCAAAATAAATGTTGTAGAAATGGCATATGAATGCTTGAGGATCCTTCTCAGATAATTCTTTAAGATACTTGGCATAGGTAACACCAGGAGAAGATGGTTCTGGAATGGCATAACCTTGCTCTTTGAACCACCATAAATCCTTTGCCAATTTTTCAGACCTTTCTAATCCAGTGTTTCTGAATTCAGCATCTGCAGCAGACCTAGGTATATCACTTTAGTTTTCTAGCATTATGTAAAACAATAAAATACCACACTCAAGAAACATATGCAAGGACATACATCACATGAGCAAACTATGAACAGGGTGATGCATGATAAACCATCTGAAACTTCGGATTTAACCCAAAGTTAGCACCACTTTTAAGGGCATTCATTTCAAGGATTAAATGGCTACAATTCAATCATCTAGGTTATATGGTAAAGTGCTTTGGTGGTTCAGTGAAAGGCCATCAAATTCAAATCTACCTTCATCAAACCATTGGACCAAAGAACAGAGGGTGCAAAAAGGGAAAAAAAAAATTTTGGTACAGGATTGGTACTGTTAGGGATATTTAGTGATCAAAAGGTATAATGGTCTTTTTTTTTTTATTAGGACCTTAACAGATAATCAAAAACATTTCACACGTAACATCGATATATATTTAATATCACATCAATTTGATCACGATATTATTGATTCTCATTAAACTATTATTTTTTATTTATAAATATAGACATCCAAATATTATCATCCTATTACCTTTCTCTCTTTCCAACCTCCTTCGTCCTGATTTCTTATTTCTGAGTCGGAACGCAAATGTAGGAAACACTTCCTACATTTGCTTTCCTACATTTGCTCCTGACTGTTATCTTTCAACTTTCTATTTTTTCAAAAATACCCTCACTTTAAAGCTCGCCACAAACAGTTACTCTACTCAACTTGAAAACTCTACCTCTAACCTGACATAGCATTCAATCTGCATTCTTAGTTTGTCATTCCCCATACATACATAAGAGGAGATCACTGATTTCGTGAAAAAAGACTCATTCAATCTCCATAACTATAGATTTTTAGTCAAATTGAGCGACATTACTCAAAGTTAAACTCCCTTGTGCCATATAACAAAAAGTCAACCTAAATACCATCATGTAAAAACTTCAAGGTTCATTCTTGTCTTATTTTCCCATACTAAACCCCCTCCTTTCACACATACACAATTCTACAACGAATCACGACCCTACACAAACATAGAATTAGTAAAACTCCATTACATTAGATCCTCCTAGATAGATAAAGTCTTGAAGTTGAGACCCATCTTAAATCGTATAAGCAATCCTCCACCTATAACAAAACATTAAGCGCTATTGCAGGAAACTTACAGCTAGGAAAAGCAGCCTTATCAATAATCCCTTCAAGGGTATCATAAACCAACTTGCTATCCACAAGGAACTTCAAGTAACCATCAACGCTGGGCTCCCATTTCCCCACGGGCCGTTCTTCGGGCTCTTTCACTTCCTTTTCTCCTTCCTTTGCCTGCTCTCTCGTATGCAATTTCATAGCCACGAACCTCATCTCTTCCACAAACCCTTTAGCCTCTCCAGGGTACCTCTTCCGTGGCTTCTCCGCCGTCGTGGCTGATACGACGTAGTTCCTAATAGCCATCCTGGGAAGTTTAAAAGACTGAGTTTTGGAATATGGAAAATGCTTGGGGATAAAACTGGAAGAGAAATTGGGAGGCGGAGGGGGCGTAAAGTTGGGTCTTTTAAAAAGGAAGTGGGATTGGTAAATTGGGGTCAGAGACGCCATTGAAGGGGAGATTTCTTGCTAAATTTTATATGGGGTTGGTCTGGTTGTAGTGAAGAAGAAGAAAACGAGAGAGTTTTCAATAGAAAAGAAAATATTAAAAAGCTTGAATTGGCGGCTCAAGTACTCTTGAAGTTATAGCAATAGAAACAGATTATTTATATTTTAAAAAAGTAAAGAATTCTAAAGAAGGAAAAAAAAATTTTTTGTTTAAAAATTAAAAATTGTGATAGTAATTGGCAAGGGCATGGGTTGCTTCTCGGTTGTGTGAGATCTGGGAGAAATCAGCCATTGCTGTGTTATTGGAACCATAGTTGAGCATCTCTTCCAAATTAAAAGAGGTTAATGGGACATTATCCTCTTCATGTGTTCAATGAAATCCAAAAATTACACAACAAATCCACCCTATCGGATCTTCACACCCATTACAGCGCGTGAAATAATAGTCATCATGAGTTGATCCATTACTTCCAGTTCAACTACTTTCGTAATGACTTTGTCCATTGGAACTCTCAATTATTTCTTAGACTTTTACTTGGCTGCGTATTGTCAATCTTAACCGTCATGGCAGCAATAAATTCTTGCATTTTCTTGAACTTCCTCTCTGGTTTTGTTGATAAGGAAGAAAATTTTGCCTCTAATTGACCAGCCGCTGCTCCTCCAGTTAGATACTTTGTATGAATCGTATCGTTTACTGTTGTTTCCTTGGAGCTCTTTCCCTTTTCTTGTTCTTTAAGGCTTCCTTATGTATCGGTCGTAGGAAACCACATCCTGAACACAAAAATGCATTAACATTTGTTTTGGTATGAAAAAAAGAAAAAACATATGTAGGAGAAAAAAAACAATAACATATCTTATTCATGGAAGAGTAGCATATCCTGTTAAAGTTCCAAAGTCTTTCTTGAGGTTAATTACAGTGATAATACGTGCGGTACAAAAAAAAAATTGCAATTTTGCAGTCCATCGGGAGTAGGGGAGATTAACACACTGACTGTGGTGGGTGGAGAATATAGATATTGGCTTAACACGATCAACATAATTGTTTAACTTAATTTTACCCATGACAACTGATGTAGCTTCAATATATATAACATTTACATGTGTTAGTAACTAAGACTTGCATTATACCAAAATTCAACTATTTGGCTTCTTGTTCAAGAACAGGAATCTTTTTCCATGACTCGTCCAATCCGCTTATTTGCAATGGCGGCAATGAAAAAACACTGACAGTTGAGCTTCCACTCCGAATTTCCTTCAAAACACGCAATGCTGATATGGTGCTTTTCATATATAGGCTCTCCATGTACTCTATCTCGGCCAGCTCTTTCGGCATTCTGACCAGATCTGCACTCTTAGACGTTAAGGATGTTGAAGGATCGCACCTGTCATCCTCACCGTCCCCACTGTCATCCCCATTCTTTGCTTCAGTTGAAGCTGGTTTTTCCTTCTTGGGGAAGAGATGGTCCAGCATTGCCTCACACTCCTTGACCAGCTTGTAAAGCAAGTCTGTAGTGAAGAAGGGTTGTTGCGAGACCCTTTGAATGAAAGGCAAGCGGATCAAAGCACCAGTTCTTTTGTCATACTTCTTCAGTATTTTCACCAATCCTGTTCAGAGCATATTGTGTTTATGATTTATTCACTTGATACAATTAAGTATTCTTGTAACACTATTGTTAATTCCAAGAGTCCAGGGAATTTCCCCCCTATTTCAGTTAGCAACTACTACTTAAACAAACAACCGGAGAAAGCTGTTACATTCTTTCTTTCCATCCATACAAGCCATACAAAAGACAGATTAGAAATGTGAATGATCTTCCTAATAAGCAAAGAGTAAATCATTGGACCCTCTGTGTGTTTTTCTTTTTTTTTTTTTCAAATAATTATAAACAAATTATCTTCTCAGCTTTTTAGTTCTCAAAGTAGGGAGGAAAAAGCTCTATAGATAATGGATCAGTTTCCAAAGAGACTATGGCACTATGATGCAGGTCTGCACTGCACTAGTAGGATAAGAGGTCTATTTAGAATAAATTCACATCATCTTAAGAAGGACAAAGAAATAGTACTTCATAAGCAGCCCACATACCATCCAGATAGTTTCAGAGAGAGCACTGTATGTCATACCAGACTCACATACACCCAAAATCGAAGTATAACTTTATGATGCCTGTACTATAAGTAATCCATATAATGATTGCATATGCTGAAGCAAATGCTCCGAACAAAGGAAGGTTGAATATTTAATGTTTAATTAAAAAATGGATGTGGATAAGTTGTCTGGCAGAATACTGATATAAAAAGGAAGCTTGCAACATATAAAAGGAATAGAGTAATTACAACTTTAAGAGAAATGGATGTAACACTAACGGGCTGTTCTACAGGATTTGCAAAATGGTACAATCAACTATGTAAAGCATTAAAAGAAAGCAAGTGGCAATATCTTTGATTAAACAAACAGAAGAAGCGAACAAAGGAAAAGGTGGAGTACCTGTGTAATTAAGGGCGCTATAATTCTCTAACAAAACCATCTCGCCATGGAAGTCCACTATCTCCTTCCTAATCATTATCATCTTTTCATTAGAATCCTTTGACTTTGCCACACTGTCTTGTAATTCCTGCACCCCAACCCAAAATAAAATGAACATAAATTTTACAAAAATGAAAAACCATATGGTCAAACTTAAAAGCATTGCATCTCGAATTTAGAATCTTTACCCAGCAATCTTCATAATCAAAAATTTATTACATCAAATAAATTTCACCCTTTTCTTTTTAATAAAAATTCCTAAAATCTTCCATTGCAGTAATCCAATCGTAATTCTATATTTTCAGTATCAACTTTCAAGCACGTAAATTTTTATCTTTCAATAACATGTCATATGGTCTTGGAGGTAACAGAAAAGTTAATTGGCAGAACATTAACATGCAACTAGAGCTTGTGCTTCAAGGTCCAAACCCTTAATGTATGTGCGCTAGTTATTGAAGGAATTTTCTAGCAAGTTGACAAGAAAAATGTTTAAGGGAAAGAAAATCAGCCATTACAGTAATCGACCACGTTTTAGGCTCTGTTAATTAATTTTACAGCCCCTTGTTGTTTACCGGGAAAGAAGGAGAAAGAAACGAAAAACAAAAAAATTCTCCCCAACCAAACACATTGAAATC